AAAACACTGCTCCTGAACAAGAGTAAGGATTATAAAAACTGCATCAGAATGTTTGTTAGTCCCAGAAGAGTCAGAAAATGTCATTTTTTGCAGATATGTGCCACTTGCTTCATACTGTGTCTCATGATTTTTTGGGTACCATTTGATAATCACATTGTGAGCCATATGAAGTCCTATTCCTACAGATACCTCATAAATAGCTACCATTTTGTGAATGATAGCCTGTCTATCAGCAGGGATAACCTGAACAGAGTATCAAGCTACCAATACTTGATCAACCACAGAGAGAAATGTCAGCAGCAGGATGTCCTTCTCCTATTGTTTGTGAAGTCTTCTCCTGAAAACCGTCATCGAAGGGATGCAATTAGACAAACGTGGGGTAATGAGAAGTATGTTCATTCCCAACTTAATGCCAATATTAAAACCCTTTTTGCTTTAGGACAACCAACTCACCATCTGCAGAAAACACAGCAGCAAAGAGAACTTGAGCTCGAAGACCAGAAATACCAGGATTTGATTCAGCAAGACTTCTTGGATACTTTTCACAATCTTACTCTTAAATTGCTTTTGCAGTTTAGCTGGGTGAATGCCTACTGTCCTCATGCCAGGTTCATTATGTCTGCAGATGATGACATATTTATCCATATGCCAAATCTCATTGCTTATCTCCAAAGTCTCACACAAATGGGTGCTCAAGATCTCTGGATTGGTCGTGTCCATCGTGGATCCCCTCCCATAAGAGACAAGAGTAGCAAATACTATGTTCCATACGAAATGTACCAGTGGCCCTCTTACCCTGACTACACAGCAGGAGCTGCTTATGTAATATCAAATGATGTAGCAGCTAAAGTCTATGAGGCTTCATTGACTCTGAAAACAAGTCTTTATATAGATGATGTTTTCATGGGTCTCTGTGCCAATAAAATGGGAATTGTACCACAATATCATGTATTTTTTTCGGGGGAAGGAAAGGCTCCATATCATCCCTGCATTTATAACAAGATGATGACATCTCATGGACATGTAGATGATCTCCGCCAGCTCTGGAAGCAGGCTACAGATCCCAAAGTTAAAAAGATTACTTCAGGGATTTGGGGTAGAATGTACTGCAGACTAGTCAATATTGTGCTTCTCTGTAAACTGTACTATGTGGACACGTATCCTTGTTCAGCTGCGTTTTCTTAATACTTGAATATCTGCATTGAAGATCCACTGAGCCAAGACAGAGCAACAACATTTTAGGTGTTTATCCAAAATATATGTAAACATGGAATGAGGTAAAATTTACACATGAATACTTGGGGTGGGCAGAGGGAGAGGAAGAAGACGGTCCCAGGGTCCCAGATTCTGTTCAGAGACTTATTGGAATAGCTCTCCTGTTGTACTTCAACTTTTTACATTGTAGCCTCTTTTTTTACACTCTTCAAGGGATGCAAATCTGGATTATAAGTGAACTATAATGGACTTGATTTCTAGACTTTGAAATGCTTGTTGAAAATATCTGTTTCTTTGAACTTGTCAGTAAGTCTTGATGGTTTTTATAAAAACTATGTGAACTAAGGCATGTGGCAAAAAAACCTCTGTTGTATCAGAATGGAGTAGACCTTTCAAAAAGAGAAAAGTGGAACTTCTGACTTGATGAATGAGACTATCACAGTAGTTTAAGGTAGTGTAAACTCTCTACAAATATTCACCATTTCTCAGTGCTTCATACAAAGTCAGTCTGGACCTGCACAGCTGACAAACAGTGAGTGCTAGAAGTGAAGACCTGCTACAATTGTTTTCTCAAAGCTGCCTAAATCTTTGAAATAGGGAAACAGTGTTTGGATGCCCTCTGACTTGGTTGTTTTAAATAACAAAGGAACTCCCTTTAGAACCTGAAGCTACAAAAAAACAAATACCTCTCATGTTAGTGGTTGGGCTAATATTTCTCTGTCTTCTGAAAACTGAATCAGCACATTTAAAAAGTCCAATCTTTAATAAGCAAATAAGTTAAGTTAGTTTTCTGCTAATAATGCTTCTATTTTCCAGTATTCTAGAGGTGAAAAGCAAGCAAAAGTCCCTGGGAAAGTTACTTACAGCTAGTTTAAGACTTAAATACTTTAAAAAAAGCAAAATTTCGTCCTTGTACCAACAGAGAGGGAGGATATTTTCTGTACAAACTTTGCATTGAAGGGATAGGGAGATGGTGATTCACACAAACTCAGTACACAAAGCATAATAACTAAAATATTTCTCCTGAAGTTAAAATTGTATTTAAAGCTTCAGGGTTGTTGGTGTCCACAAACCCAACAAGTTGGGTTGGTGTACCTTGAATATATCTCAATGTTAATATCACTTGGAAAGGAACAAAATGCCTGTGCTTTGTAAGCCAAAACAGAGCTAAGTGATGTGCAAACTGCAGCCCTTATGAGTTGTCCTGTGGTGCCATAAAGATACTGTAGAGAACTAGAGTTGTAGGCTGCCTGCAGCCCTTGCACAGCTCAGTCATGGTGCTTCCACAGACTCTCAGGACAGTAGCTTAGTTGCTAATTGCCAAACCTGTGGCAGCTGTACAGGACGTGCTAGTTTGAAGCTGTGAGTAGTAAACTTGGTGTAACTGCTACTGCTCTTGGAGCTGTGCTGCAGGTGTTCTGGCTTGAATGGATAATGGCATCTGTCAGAGCAGACAGAATCCAGGAGTGAGCTTGCTGACTGTTCTCTAAGCTGTTCGGATGGAGGGTAGGTAGCTACTGGAACTAAGTCAAACATGTAACTTTCTATAATTGGTTTTGCAGAAGGAAGATAATAAGATTCCTAAGTGGTCCCAAATGTTGGGCATATCAAGAGCTCACAAAGAAGTAATTTATCAGTGTCAGAATGACTGACGAGTATAACAGCTATACTTCAGAAGGAACAAATCCAATTTCTCTCTTGCCTAAACAAATGGATAATAGTACTGGGGATGTAGATCTTTATAACCTGTTGCATACAGAAAAAATAAATGCACATATAGAGAAGGTATTGTATATTGAAGGAAAGCTGCTTCATCAGATTTCTGACTTCTTGTGAGCCGTTTAAATCAACAAAGCTGCACAGCAAAACTGCACTGCTAGAAAAGCCACCCTGTTCACTGAAGGGAAAGAGGGTCTTCATATGCAGTATGCAACCAAAATGTGCTAGTAAGACTATAGTCTTGCAGCATATCTACGTGTTGGGATTTGTTTTCACTCATACATGCAAAAGTAAAGTAATCTTTAAGTAGCTTTAACTAGCTAACATCTAAAACGCTGCTTATATGTAGTTGCCATTATCTGAAAATCACTTTTGACCATTGAAATACTTTGTTTTACAGTTGGTTTGAGCTTTGTTTGGATTGTTTCTTAATCTTAAAAGAGCCTTGATGTTTGTGGTATGCATTTTCTTTTGCTGCAGTGAAAAGAAGTTGCTCGTTGAATAAAAAGGAAAGCATGAAGGCACTCCTTTAAAAAATAGAAGAGACATAGAAAACTTCATATTTTCTGGTTCTAAACACAAATGAAGATTTGTACACTTCCATCAGGAATCTTTTTTAACAATAGTCTCAGTGCTCCAATGCAGGGCTGATAGGTTTTGCTTCAAATAAAACGGTATCAGCCTGAATGGTCACTCCTCATTAAGAGTTTGACATTGTTGCACAGCATATTTAATGCTATTTTTTTATCTGTTTGTTTGGTTTGCATCAGTTTCCCTTTGATATTACTAATTTTTATACAAAGTATTCAATATTTATTCTTAAACTTTGCTCTGTACCACAGAAAGACAGTTGTTTTGTAAAATTTGTTTTGAATAAACAGACTTATTTCTTTTAAAAAAAAACCTAAGAATACAGAAAAGATAAATATCTCTTGTTGCCTTCTTTGTAACTGACAGGATCAGTTGTGATACTTTTAAGTTTTGTTCTGAGTTCCCTTTTACAAGAGGACTTCAAACTGCTCCTCATTCCCCCACCCTGCCCCGGTGTGTGCAAAAAGCAAAATTGGTGTTCCTTGTTTACCAAGCTTCTAGGTCTAAAGTTGTATAAAATTGCCAGGTATTAGAAGCTGAACCTGTTGTTAATGTTATAATTTGTATGTTCTCTTCAGGCAGCCGTTCCCCTGGAGATGTGTATCTGTCTACACAAGATTTGAGATCATACTTCGAACCTTTGGAAAGTAGCTGATGGTCTGGGGACCAGACATGGTATTTTCATAGGTTATAATTAAATTCAGATAATTATGATTTGTATGTCTCTCCAATTTGTCTGACATAATGTATCAGGTTAGCGTTTTTACAAATGGAGTCATTTGCATCAGGTAACTCCAGTGTATATGACAGGGGCATAACTAAAGCATGAATTATCTAAATGATAGTGAAGAAGAGAACAAAGGAAATGAAGTCAGGATTGTGGCATTTGGCTTCTTGCAGGGGGGTTTTGTTATGGGTTTTTTGTTTTCTGGGGTTTTTTATTTAATTGTTCCCTTTGGCCTAGAAACTGCAGTTCAGCTAAAATTGGGTTTGCTTGATACTTTTTGTTGAAGTGATTTAAGTATCTGGTGCTTTAGAATGCATTGTTAATAATCTTTTTCTCAAGATTTTGCAGAAAGTTGAGCTTGCAGTTAAAAAACCCAGAAGTCCCTCAGAGGTATATAGTAAAATGTGAATATTCTGAATACTATGAGAGGATCTTTTAACAGCAGGGTTTTTTTGTAAATACATGCAAGGCTTATTCTAATGACTTCTTCTCTCAAATTTTGTAATTAGTGCTTCTAAGAGAAACCTGTAAAAAAGCCCTAAGACAAACAAAAGAGAATTCTTACTTGTTTTCCATCTGATAGACTCGGTATAAATGCATGGCTGTAAGCATTTCAGTGACTTCATTATTGCTAATTATTTATTAATCTTGGTGAACTTCAAAGAGGTTGTAGAGAATGTACTACAAATGCAGCGATTTGCATTCTAAGAAGAAAAAAATATATAGTGGCTCATATGTGCAGCCTTACCTCCTCCTTGTTGACAAGTTCTCATCACTTTCACTGGTCACCAGGACTCTGCTGGATCCTCCTTGACTGGCTTCATGCATCACTTCAATCTGAATGAGAAGGACATGTTAAAAATGAAAATACTTAATTGCTCATGCTTTTATTTAGAGAATTTTAACTCTTTGAAAGAATAAAAAACAGATCCTACCTAACCTAGAAAGTCATTAGACAAGTTCAAATAATTGAATTCTAGATGTGCAGAAATATCTCATATTTATATTCTCTATCCTTGCTCAGTGTTGGCATGGAGGCATTCCTTACTCCAGGCAAAGCCATTATATTATTGCACCACAGAAGGGGAATTATCTCCTTGTGTAGATAATTACATGAATAATAATCTGTTCCTTAGACTCTGGAATACTATTTTTTTCATTTCCTGTCTGAAGCCAACCCAAAGACTTCACATTTCCAGAGTTCTTTGTAGAATGCCCTGTGGAGAAATCTGGGAATCGTCCGTGTGCCTCTGAGAAGTGTCTGTGTCCCAGCAGCAGTGCTGGGTGAGGCAGTGCTGAGCACAGGTACCTGTGCAGAGCCCGTGCCCAGGCTGAAAGAGCTTTTGCACAGCTCCAGTGTTTGTTTTGATAAACACTCACACACTCCCTTGTCCAGTCTTGCAGAGTTGGATCATTTCAAGTGCTCTCCAGGCAAGTTTTAAGCAGACTTTTCTTCCTTTTGCCTGCAGCTTTAAGAGCAGCAAGCACTACTTGCACTTACTGAAAAGCCAATCTCTTCAAATTCAGTTAAACAACCCATCTGCTGAGTTTGCTGTTAACCGAGCCAATATCTGAATCCCAGCAGAATCCAACTTCCTGAGCACTTTCATTTTTAAGGGCTGATTCTTACATTCTATATTGCTAAATTATTTAGCTGGTTGATGATAATGATGGAATTCAGTAATGAACTGTCCTCATCTGAACTATTATCAGAACAATGGGAGGATAGGGAGGGGGCATAATTTGCAGTGTGGTCTTGGGAAGTGGATTTAAAAATTAATGAATGGATGTTTTATAAAGCCTATACCACACTGCTGCATACACCTAACTACGTGGGAGAAATGCAACTGATTACCTGCATTACTGATGAGAGTAAAACTAATTCTAATGTCACTTTCTGTGAGTTTAGGCAAAGGGAAGACTACTTGTATGTTCCTGCTGATAACTTGGTTTTATTCTGTGCTTATTGCTGAAGTTGTGGGCTGTGCTAGCCATTTCAGAAAATGAACTGCATTTAAATTTTGCTTTCAGCTTTAGGGGAATAAAGATAAAATGTACGAACAAGTCAGGGGTGTGGATAACAGACAACTTAGGTTAAAGTCGCTTGTCCTTACCAGAGTTAAATTAGCAATGCTCCAATTTGTTTTTTAAATTCCAAGTATAGGTGTGTAAATCTATATTTATGAGGTTTTGCGTTCTCTCACAATATAGGATGTCTCTAAATTACAGGTAATCCTACCTTAATTCCACCTTTTGTCTTCTTAATGCTTTTCTTTTTTGATAACTCTACTTCAGAAACGGTCTTTGGAGGGCAGGAAATTTCTGTAGACCTCCTGTTGGTAGCTGAAAGAGTAAAAAAGAAAGTAGCATTAGAAAATGTGCTAAAAGTTAAAATTCTACTTCCTAATAAAGGCAATGAGCAAAGTGGTAAATGAGGCCTGGCTTAGAGAACTGAGCTGTGCTGGAGCAGTGATGGACTGGGTGGAACAAGGGATGGGTTTCCTTGTTCAGTGCTGCACTGTCACAAATTGGCATCTTCAGCTCCATGCTGTAAGGATTACTTTGGTTTGGCTGCCCCTGGGAAAAGCATCTTTAGGACAGCACAGGCAAATGTTAGCCAGCTGTACCAACTTGCGTAATTGTCACTTGCATGGTGTTTCTTGTGTGGGTTCCCAGGAAATTTTGTTTCTGGTAATGGTTTGTTGATTGGTGTTGGATTAAAGGATTGTTCCCTTTAAGGTTTCATTACACGAACAACTTTCAAAAGAGTAATCACAGGAGTTCAGCAAGGCACAATGGCAGGTGTGGAAGGACAGAATCTGAGGATATTATTTCAGAATATGCCATGTTGTGTCAGGTTTGGTGGCCCTTGCAGGCTCTGAAGTGCCCAGCTGACACTGAGGTGTCTGAGGCTACTGGACAGTCATCCTTAACAACAAAACCACTTGTGCTGAGCCTGCTGTCCAAAGCAAAGGTTAGACTGAACTATGAGAATGGGAATCATACATTTGGCTTGAGTAGCAAATAATATCTATTACAACTTTATCTTTGTTTTATGATTGTTAATGAGTTCACAGCACATGCAAGTACAAGGCCAACAGCACTATTTCTTTTCTTCACTGCTGACTTGATGTGGGCAGCCATTCATGCCATGGGTGAAAACATGTATGAAAGGCAGATGAAATGCTGAAAGAATCTGCGTCAGGCAACAAAGAACAAAATTGAGGTTAAGTCCTTTTTTATTCTGGCAAAGCTTTATAATTGAAGAAGCACTTTTTCTAAGAATAAAAACTAGTGTTTTCAAATGCATCTGGCAACATTTTCTTTAAGAGGGTTTCACCAAGTTTAATGTTTTGAAGTGTTGAGAGTCTTGATAGTCATTAAATTTTTGCTCTTTGGGAGAAGCTGAGGGATATAGTAAAAATGATGCAGACATCTTTGAATGAGGAGGACCTAGTATTAAAGGTTTGATGTAGGAGAGGTCAGAATACTTTTTTAAAAGAAGTACCTTAACAAAGTTTCAAATGCCCTTGTCATTATATTCTTTTAAAGTAGTCTTTAAAAAGGAAAAAGGAAGAACATAGAAGCACCCCAAATTATATTCAGTTAAAAAGACAACATATGAGTTGCACAGATGATAATGATGGAAGATGACATTTCTTCTGTGTCTTTTCAACAGCCTTATCACACAGCTGGGAAGAGAATTAATTAAAACAGCCTGTCTCCAACTCTTCCCTAAATCTTCTTGGATTTATCCGATGCTGAATGACATAAGGACTTGGCACTGCCCATTTCATGCCTGTTACCTCCTCACAATGACTCCATACTAGAAAGTTTCCTCAATGGAACAGTGAAATCTGGCAGTCACCAGCAGCTATAATCAACTGGTAGAGAATTCTTGTGGTTCCCAGGATGGAGCTGGAACGCAAATGTAGCTTTTTGGCTCTCCCATCACTCTTTCAGAATATACAGCAGGGGATTTGTTTTGATTTTGAACACTACTTTCAACAAATACCTTTTTCCTATCCCCAAGCAAGCTTTCCCTGAAGTAGTATTTGTTCTCTGAAAGGTATTTTTGTTTCACCCAGAAAGTGGTGTACTGACAATTTGGAACCAAGAGCACAAAAAGATGTAAGATGCAGCACATGGAAGTTATTTATCCTGATTGTAATGGCTTCTAATCTGTCATGGCTTCTAAATTGTCATGCCTTTCTAATCTTCAGGGAGAGTGACTGCTACTCTTGGAAAAACCTGAATATTTGGTAAATTTTCAAAGGGGTCCTTTTATGTGTTTTCCCATGAATCTCTGAGTAAAGTGTGTATAAGCATCAGCAAATTCACCCTTTTCTGCATTGGTACAGCCTGGAGATTCTGTTTAGCCATAAAGTCTCACCTACCCCAATCATGACAAAACAGGCTGTGATCAGACCTATTACACTAAAAACTATTACCTCCTGGAGCTTCTCCCAGCTATATCCTATTCATACCTTGAAAAATCAGCATAAAGAGAATATATCTAAGACTTGGCCACCAAGATATTGTTTCAAAACTTACCCACACCTGAATACCCTAGATATGCTGCCAATGTCTAGTTGCCCTCTCTAAATCTGAGTTCAGTCCCTTGGATTGCTCTATTCGCAATCTCATTCACAATTTTTATGGATATGTTGTGGAAATCAAGGGAAGCAACAGAAATAACTTAAAAAAACATCAGGACTTTCGCTTAGAATAGCATAGTCAGCAATACCAAGTTGTTTGGCTTATTCATTATTCAGAAAATTTTGTAGCTTGAAGGAATGGTTGATACTGGTATGAAAACCCTTGCTGAAAGCAATCAGCAGAAAAAGTGGAAATCAGTTACAACTTTGATGTCTGGATCACAACTTGCAAGCTCAGACAGCTCCAGGTGATCCAGGAAAGAGCACAGTGCAGTTTAAATGAAAGATGACACATTCACAAGAAACCAAACTGCAGGTGCTCCTTGATCCAGCAGCAAATTTCTCAGGTCAGTTCACAATCTGAATCTTGGCTTCTTCAGTGTGTGACATATTTCAAAAAAGGAAACAGGTATAAGATAAGAAAGTAGTTAAATTCAGCTGAGTCTGTTTCAGAGATGAATTTGATTCATATTGACACAGCGAACTTCCCTTTCCAGTTAGACCCAGAAATGAACTGAAAACAGGAGACAAGCTGCTTTGGTTATGCTCTGGAGAATTTTTCAGTTATTGACTGGCCCCTAGTCAGAGACTGCTACTTGTCACTGCATTTAAATAGTTGCTGAAGCAGTACAGAAAGAAACAGCCCAAATACCTGCCAATTATTATTGCACTAATTGCTGTGGAACTGGAAATATAAGGGAAACTCCCTCATAGAATTCAGTACAGTTGGCTGTTTCAAGGTCGGTACAGTATTGTCTTGCTGAAGAAGCTGAAAATTGCAATGTTGAACTGCCTACTGAAAGAATAAAGGCACAGGAACAAAGGAGAACTAGAAATGATCTAATATCTGCATGGTTTCAGGGTTGTTTTCATCCTATTGTTTCACCCCCTGGATGACACATAATGATGATTTCATTTTGAATTCATTAATATTTTAAATTGCTTGATGCTGCTTTTAAAGCCAATATTGTCAAAGGGAATTTTAAAGCAGAGTTTGGGTGTCACTTGCATTCACCTGAAGCACCACTACACTTTTCCAGTGGGGCTTTAGTACTGTTGACTGTTTTTTATGAACAAGTTGTATGACAAGTATGAAATCACTGTTGTATTATTTAGCCTACAGCAAACGGTAAAGTGGGCTGTACTGTCCCTAAAGCTGCTAGAAAATGAGACTCATGTGCTCTATTTTGCTTTGCAGTCTCTCCACCCCTCTAAAAGTGAAATAAAATTCAGTGAGGAAAACGTGCTGTGCAGCTTGTGAGAAAAAGCTGTGGTTTCACCCATTCTCCCCCCTGCTCCTTTGTGGCAGGACACAGACACCATGTCTAAGGTGCTGATCTCTTGCAGGAGGGCTACATCCCCCACTGAGGGACAGACCGAGGGACAGACAGAACTGTGGGCAGCTCCCAGGTGCTCAGAGACAGCTGGATTTGTTCACCTGGGTAAGTGGCCCTAAGTTAGCTCCTGCTAGAATAAGTGCAACTCATTAGCTAGCAAGAGACACAGGCCACAGCCAAGGGTTACGATACATACTGGGCACCTGTAAGATATTCCAAACCCCCCTCAAGTAAACACCACACTTTACATTCAGGTTTGGAGGGAATTCCCCCAGCATGTTCTCCCTCTGTTTTCTGTATGGGTTTGTGCATTCTCACTCATCACCTACAGCAGAATTGAATTCTTTTGACAAGAACAAGCATGGAAATAACTAGTGTGCTAAACTTTCTTGGGGCTTACTGCTCATGCTGTCCAATAGGAACATGAGTTTGAAGATAATTAGTGGCTTAATTGCTGTTTTAAATGCTGGTGATGGCAAAATAATGTTTAGGCAGCTAAAGAAACACCAGAGCAGCTATGGTTTGTCACTTAATTGCTTAGGGCAGAAAGACTGCCATTTTTAGGCAATAGAATTTAGACTTCTCTCTGACAAAATTTCTGTCAAGCCTCCTGAAAACCTGCTGATATAAGAAGCACAGAGCAAGGTTCCTGGATGTGGAATATTCTTCTACAAGAAGATACTACTTGGTTTCCTCAGACTGGCCCAAGTGTAATAGCAATCCCACAGCCACAAAACTGAAAGTATCTTTTCCTTTTTTCAACTTCATTTATAGAAATGTACTGAACCAGACAAACTAGTGGTTTCTCAAACCATTCATGAGTCACACACACCATCTCTTCTGAGTCAGCTAATCTCTCCACAGCTTCACTTCCCCTGCACACATCCCCAGACTCTTGCAAGAAATTCTTCCTTTATCCTCTGTCCAGATGTTATTAGTTAGTGAGTATTATGCACTAGTGACTGTGAGGAATGCTGGACTGGATCCTGTGAGCAGTTGTATACATTTAACTGAGATGGAACCAGCTTAAATTTTATTATTTAATGAACTGAAAAGGCTCCAGCTGTGTTTTCCTCCCTATGAATCTTGTGTTCCAAGTTGGCCTTCTAAGATGCTTGTATGGTGAGTCATGGATTTTGTATGTGCAATGTGCTGTTAAACATGTTATTTGTTTAACAAGCTCACAGAAATTTTGACATCTCTGCTCCTGTATTTCACATTTATGTTGCCCACAAAGAACTCTCTAGGAGCACTTTGTGCTGCCGTGTTCCAGCTCTTGTCAGAAAGGTAACTAAAGCAAGACATTTTTCCTAACCATGGTCACTGAAATGGCCAAATCATCTTTTACTGAAATTTTCCAAGAACATGTGAAGTTGAAGGGAATTGCCTTTGGGAAAGTATCATTTCAAAAAGTAAGAGTTTGGGAGAATTACAAGCAAATTAAAATAGATAAATGCTAACAGCAGTAATTTCTAATTGCTTGTATTGCTTGTATTATCCTTTACTCCTCTGTGGTTCATCTCATTGTGTCTGACAGACTGTATGGTTTGACTCTTTGGCCCTATTCCAATTCACTCCATGCTAAAAAGTTTTGCACAGAAATGCAGAGAACAAATATGTAGTCAAATCATCAAAAATTATGCCCTCAAAAGTGAATCAGAGCAAAAATATTTCCCTATCAAGTGCCACTTCTTTCCTCCCAACAGACATAGGGACAAATTTAGCTATTAGAATTCAAGCAGCTTCCACTGGGAGAAAATGGAGTTGTCCTTAAAATAAGGTGTCATATATACTACTTAAATATTTTCAAGGCTCTTATTATAAAAAGGTCAACAGAGTTTTCTGCCTTTTCAGGGTTGATCTGTGAATAATATTTAGTCAAGTTCTCACAGCTAAAACGTGCACTAAATACAGCTGGCACAAACTTTTCAGCATCACAATAATTCCAGAACTAGTACTTCAGTCTTGAACAGGCCCGTCCCTGCAAAATATGGAAGTCCACTTGTGAAACCAGAAGCATCAAGCAAAATTTGGATTAATGTAAAATTTTTATTCTTCATTTCTAGACCTGTATAGAAGTGTTGACTGAAGGAGAGTCAACTCTGGGCTGCCATTCTGGATCTTTACTAAGCTAAAAGATTGCTGAGAGTCACCAGAAACCATAAGGACACGCACATGAAACTGTGACAGTCATTTCCCCAACAGAAACCTGCCCTTTCTCTCAGACATGGTATCAGCTATGCGTGTGTGCAGAAAATCCATCTCTGCCTACGTATTTGTCCATGTAACATCGAGAGCCTGACAGTTACAATAATGGAGTATTTAATGTCTGAGCCTTCATATCTGTGAAGATTTTTCCATTAGCACCCTGAATTGGATTGAATTTTCCCTACTGCTCCCTGTTAGGAAAATGGAGAGTCAGCAATGGGAAGAACAAAACAAAATCTATTCTGGAACAAATGTAACTTTTTTTCCTTTCACAGACTAACCACCCCAGTGCTGCCATGGTATTGTTACTCAGCTGCCTGGGGACAAAAGCCTTTCTTTCTGGTCTTCTATTTCTGTTTACCACATTTTATTGCCTTTGCTTGCCTTTCTATTTACACAGTCTAGGAACATGATATTTTCCTGTTGTCATATTCTATTTTGCAATCTTTTAGAAATATTCAGGTATGTCCTGGGTAAAATATGACAAATGAGTTACAAAACCTGTTTCAAGAAGGTGCTCTAAGTCTCTCTCAGTTTCCAAGATGTTGCTCAATAAATTCTCCCCATAAGTAAATGCTGATTGTGCATTGATGCCATGAATGTGAAGAAAGGATACAGAGGAAAGTCCAAAAGAGGGTAGCTTCAAGAAGAGCAGAATTTCACAGCCTCATTTTCAGGCTTGTAATAGGACTCAGTGTCCCTGTTTCTATTCTCAGACACGTTTCAGAGTCAGACTGTGAAATACCTTGGTGAATTTCTCGGTTTATCTTGCTTCAGTTTTCTTTCTCAAAAAAGAGGTTAAAATAGTGACCAGTACTTGCCAAGTGCTTTGGCATTCTGAGGGAAAGGGCACTCAGGAATTTCAAAGTAGCAGACAACTGGATAACACCAAAGTGACTCATAAAGAATATGTGAATATACATGTACTATTCATTAGCTGCTAAAGTCACTGACTGTGAGTCCCCGGATGAGCTGTAGATACTCAGGCATTTCTGTTTCTTTGCACAGAGGTACTCTTGGTCAGTCACCTTCAAGAATCTGAATGAAATGGCAGAGTCTGCTTATCAATGTCTGAACAGAACTGGGTTGCACTTTGCACCTTCTTACAACCAGAGTGTATTTTAAAATAAATTTCAGCTACCTATTACTTTGCAACAGGACATTAAAGGCTAAGCCTTGCCACACAGTTATGCTGTATTTGGTTGTATAACTATGAACTGCAATTCAAAGGAGAGAACAAGGGAGCATCTCATGACTTTCTGTGAAAGAGCTGATGGTATGTGGCATGGGCTGTATGAACAAGAATCAAAACTTAGAGCACTGTCATAAACCAGTGACTGTTCTATAAGGTTCCATCTATATCAACAATTTAATTAAAAAATCTGCAAATGTGCTAAAATGGCAAGAAAGAAGCTCAAAAAACATTTCAAGAGACTACATGCATAAAAAGAATGTCAAGATGAGCTTTTAGCCTGAAGATGCAGTTTCACAGTACGTAAAAGCCATCCTGAAACTGTGCTGCCACTGACAGGAACAAACTGGCTCTGACCTACTGACCCCATAACCCCATTTTCTGCAATTTCCTTTGCTTCAGCACTAGTGGCCAGGCAGTGAGCAATCTGATGAATGCTGACATTAGTGCTGCTTGGAGCAGGTGACTGGGCTGTATGATCTCCAGAGCTCCCTGCCATTTCTCTAACTCAATGCAATGGAAAAAGAGCTACTACAGTTTTGCAGTATTTTTGTTCAGTTTTCAAGGCAAATCACAACTCCAGCAAACTGACTGCCCACCCCAGTACAAGAGGGGAGCACAGTGCTGGAGGATGTGTGTGTGGCAGAGCAGGACCTCTTCACAGGCATTGTGTTCTCAGCTTGCCTCAAACTAAAAGAGAAGCTGAAAGTTGAGGTAGGAACTGTACATAAAAAACACAGCATGGTTTGGGGGGAAAATGTACAGATGTCAAACCAGCATGGGAACGGGAAAAAGATGATTTTCCTTTGGAAGAAAGGATGAATGCTGGGTGCAGAGGAGAACAGGGGCATTGGTATGACTTTCTGCTGGTATGCCTAGAAAGCAAAATGGTCAGGCTACTACTGGCCATCCTAATCTTCCTGTTGAGAAAGCAGTTTATTGCATGATCTTCATGCAAGTTAGAGAGGGTTTTTAAGGCTTTGCTAAAGGTTCCCCTTTTGAATAGCCCTAAAGGTTCCAAAGGGACAACCTCTTCCTGCCACCAAGCACAGGAACCAAGGCCACAGGACTGGTCTCCAGGATACAGTGTTTCAAATTAGCTTCACCCATGTTCCCTTTGCAGAAAACTGCTATCTTGGCTAAACACACCTGCTAACTTCAATTCAGGAACTTTCAGTTATTTCCAAACAGAAGCAATGTCCAATTTCTGTGGTTAGCAGAGGACAAGGTAGAAAGTGAACTAACATCTATGTAGAGTGGGAAAAGCAAAAATTCCACGAATGAGTCGGTGTCACTCACTAATGGACCCTTAATTTTGCAAGTATCTGATTGCAACTTGAGGAATTATGACACTTGAAAGCCAAATATTCACATTACATTATCTGCAATATAAAAGAGGTTCACATGCTTACATTGCAGGCTTGCATTGTCTACGCTGGTGTGGGTATTTGGGAATTAGCAATACAAGACACACTGAGACACAGTATGGAAATGTACTCTGTAGATTAGACCCAGGAGGAGAAACCTGATGGGTTTTTTGATTCACCCTTGTTTGTATGTTTGCAGTGAGAGATATTTCATATTCATTTTTACTAGCTGGACCTACGAGGCTGACACTACACATCAAATTCAAGTGTTCATATTGATAACAAAAATCAAACATGACCATGTGGACAAAACATTGGTGTGAATCTGAAAGCAGCTTCTCATGGCCTACCTACTGCTGCTGGTCTGGTAATCTTTGGTGATGCTCGCTTTGGGGAAGATTCAGGATGTGGAGCAACAGGTTGTACTGGCCGGGTCTGTTTGGCTGCCAGCTTCTTCAGACTTACTTGCCTCTTGTCAAACATTTCTTGCACATCTTCGAGTTTTTGTACAATTCTTTGGGCATTGGCCTTGACAAAGAAAAGGCAAACAACAAATGGTTGTCAGTGCTGGACTGAGTGAGTGAAGAAAGGGCTTGTACTACCAGACTCAGACTAGAGCTGGAGATCACACTGTGCTGCAGTTTATTGCAGCCCAGTCCATGCATTCTGCCCAGATCACAGTTTCACTGACCAAGACGTGGTGACTCAAGCAGTGTTTCTAGCACTGCTCTGAAGAAACTGACGTAAGTGTTGCATGACTGCTCTTATGAGTAAAACTTACTGCCACAAATACTGACCTCTATGCCCTTTTGGAGTAGGGAAAGAAGCATATTTTAGCAGACTCAAATATATAGCCCAGTACACTTTCATGGACAAAACAATCAGAAATTTTTAACTTCTAGGTGAGCACATGCACCTTTATTTCAGGGGTGAGGATCATGTCAAACTGATTGTAGAACTCCTTCGGGTTGGAGAGCTGGTGTTCCTTAGCTGTTACCAAGAACTTCTCAATTTCAACGAGTGCAGTTTCAGCTCCCTCTTGTGACTGGCACTTGTCCACAGCTTGGGAAGCTAAGAGGTAGATTCCAGCTTCGCACCATTGGCTTGCCTTTAAAGAAAAGAGGGGGAAGAAGACTATCATCACTGAGAGTCCAAGTTGTCAGCTGTTGCTTCTACTCTATGAAAAACAGATTTGCCCTAACATGTCATTAAAAGGGGATCAATGTTACTCATAGTGTGCCTGCTCATAGTTCCTGCCCACAGTCACCCCATCAGCATATGCAGAATTGAACTTGCTGAACTAATGCAAAGCTCCAATATTTATACTAACATTTACTGAATAAAACAGAGAAAAACCAAACACAACTTTTTATCTTCATCATAATTACCTGAGCTAATAAAATCCTTCATTTTTAATATAACCTTGCCAGACCTGTTATCTGAGAAGGTTCACTCACCTTATCTAACTGCTTATGCAGCTCAAGAGACTTTCCCAAAATATCATATTTTTTCTTGGTCTCATTGGTAAAGTCATCACAAATCCGCCTGAGTTCAACACACTTTGGTCTAATGGAGTCAACTGCATAATGATTGTTTTGGATGAGCTGTTCTCCATGGAGAGCTAGAGACTGGGCCTTCTCCAAAGGTTCCTGTGAAATTAATGAGAAAAATCCAAAGTTAGAATTACATGCATAATAAGGATAATCCTTCTCTGTAACACCTGCTGTAGCCTGGGGATAAAGGTTTGGAATATTAATATAGCTGATATGTCTTATTTTATATTTACATTGAAGGCTAACTTCCATGTCAATGAGTACATTGAAACTCGTGATGGTCCATCTGAACACCAGGAAGCAGATTTTTGTTGTGAGGGTGACCAAACACTGGAACAGGTTGCCCACTGAGATTATGGAGTCCACTTCTCCTTTCTCACATACTGGGAACAATCATTATACAAGTTTTTCCCTACTTTTTTCCCTAGTTTTCCAAGTAATTAATGGAACCACTGGGTCTGAACAACCTTGGCTTCTGAAAATTAGGATCTGTGTTTTGCAATTTAAAGTAACGACTCATGAGATGAGAGTAAATCTGGACCAAAAAAAAAAAAAAAAAGGACAATAACAATAGTCTAGAATACCATGTCTATAGCAGCTAGAATACTAAATTGAGTGCAAACCTGTCCTTTCTCTTCCAGATGTTTCTGTTCCTTGAGGAGGTTCTCAACTCGAGTCACACTGTCTCCAATGTCAGTAAAACCTGCTTGTGTTTCCATGAGGTTATCCAATGTCAATTTTACCTAAAAAACAGCAACAACAAAAACATAAACCAAAAAAAAAAATAAACCCACCCAAAACCGCATCACAAGATACTGATAAAAATTACAACAAACATTCACCTACATCTCTGAGAAGAGTCTGCATCTCAAGTTTAGTCTTTCAGTTTGTTCCAAAATGGAAAATCCAAGGAATAAATCAACAGCCAACCGTTCTTCAAAGAGTTTCCCTGCTTCTCACTAATTAGGCCCACAAAGTTTTGACAACCTGTAACTCCAAGGTTTATATCACTTCAGAATCTGTATTACTGCAGTCTCTGGGCTGACACTGGGCTTTCTGAACTGTTTTCCCTTTACTCCGGTGGAATTGGTGACTTACTATCACAGAAGAATTTATGTTTGATAACTTCACACCTAAATGCAAAATTATTTATCAAGATAAATTTACTTATTGGTGTTCCACATTTTGCCCTCACAGTCTGGCACTTTCCTCACTCTGCCTTAGTCAACTGTTGTAAGACATCTGAAAGCTGTCAAGACTTTAATTTTTGAATATTCATTTCCTATTGCATAATGAAGATCTTCTCTCCCAACCTCCTTTTTGGACTGCTGGTATACTCTTAAGTATGGATAGAATTTGACCTTATTTACCAGAGAAGGCTAGACAGCATGAACAAAGAAATACCTCTCTAAAATCATGTTCAAAGTGTCGAAGCTGCAGGCACTGTTCTAGTTTTAGATGATGCTTGGTCCAAAATTGATCAAAAGCCTTTTCTGTTTCATCCAACTGAGCCAGCAACCTGTTAAGAAATTAAAATGAACAGAATGCACTTATTTCCTATAGTTAATTTCTTTTAAGTTACAGTAATTGATGGCAGAGCAGGGAGATGGTGGGGAGCCCTAAACTTATGTAAGAGGGCTGTGTGTCAACTCTCCCATAAGCAAAAGAGAATGAAATTTGCAGGAGGACAGGTGGGAATGTGACAGATAAGTGACAACTACATGGATCTACTGTGGCAGAGGCACTTGGAGCTGTTCCATGTGCTGGCAGCCAAGGGCAGCTGTCACTCCCTAGCTTCCACGCAATGCTTCAAAGATAGTCCATCCCCAAATGATGCAGATTAAATATTATGCAATTATTATTTTATGGAATGATTAAACCAGAACTCTACAACTTGTTAATTTTCGTCACCATTCAGAAGTAGGCAAGGGCTGAATAATTTTTCCTAGTCCATTAAAAACAATAGATTAGGAGATCATAATGACTCCCATGGACATTGTTTTACTTTGTGTAAATGATGAAACATTTATTTGCAAAGACATTAATCTCAAGGTGTCATATCTTCAGTAAAATATCTGACACCAGGCTAGTGAGTCATCCTCACAGTTTCTCAATGATCCATTAATTATGAAGTAGAACAGTTTTAAACAAGTAGAAAAAATGAAAAGGAAGTGTTCTCTGAATATTTTGTATTTCAATAGATGGGCATTCTTTGGGCAGATAGGGGATCAGTGCATGCTGAAATCAAGTTATTGGGTCAAATGCCAATAGCTCCCTCCTATTTGTCTCGAAAACAAGTTTCTGTTTTCAATCTATCCCTGGAAAACTTTTTTTTTAATCAAAGCTAGTCCTTGAATTCAAGGTAAATTCACAAATTCCTTTGGGATGACTGTTCAAAGGATTTTAAAGTATTCAGTGAAAAATATCAGCTCAGCTTTACTTTTAGCACCTTTGTTCCCAGTGAATGCAGACACACTGAAACCCTAGCATGGCATTTCTATTTGCTCTGCATCACATGGCACAGCAGAAACTTCTACATGGTGACTAAAAGCTTTATGGTAATAACTAGCATTGTAGGAAGGAAAGGGGGGTTCTCTCTCTATCTCTGCATCTGTGACACACAGAACGTTTCAGGTATCGTCTTCATCTGCTCCTCCCCCAGTGTTTCCACAGACACTCACAAGCACATCAGCCACTCATCTCACAGAGACTCAGGTACTACTTTCTAACCAGGCACAGAAGTTTGGAGGACATACATGTTATGGAGAAAATAAGTCTCACCTTAAATCTTCAGCCAGGTAGTTAGTGGTCTGACCAAAAATTACTGAGAAATTCAGGACTTGTTTGAACTTGCCTTGACAGTTTAATCAAGTCATTTCCTCTAAGCTACTTCCTTCTCTGACTTACCTGTCCATAAATCCTGAGTACGTGAATCAATGGTAATTTATAACCTGAATATTTAAATTATTTAAATTAAATTTGCATCTCCTAGGAATAAATTAACAAGTTGCACAAGGTAATTTAGATCCACTGACCTTTCCACTGTGGCCACATTTTCCAGTTCATCTGGACTGAGTTTGCTGTTGGCACTTCGGGTGACTGGCTCCCGGATGCATGTCAGTAAGGTGGCCCCCTGCTTCACTGCTAGCTTCAGCTCATCCTGAGGGGAAAAAAACCAAGCCAAAATCCAAATTGTATGTACTTCTAACAACACTCACATCTCTTAGATGACAACAGAGTAATGATAAAGGAGGATCCTTTCATAGATACAAAATACTTGAAACAAAATATAAATGCTTACCCAAGGTGGTATGTTTTTCTAGCAAATGCAGAGACCTAAATCTTTTACCTTTGAATAGTAGATCTATTTCTGAGAAAAGGAATAGAGTAATTCTGAGCAGATTGAATATCTGACCAGGCCACTTGCAGAATAAATTATTCTACCAAGAATTGAATGTATGCTGTAGATTATGAGCTGAGACATTTCATTTCTTAATGGAATTTCATTAAACAACATTGTGCCATGCTGAGCCATAGTACATAAGCTATAAGAAGTCATCCACATAAGTGTCTTCCCAGCATGGAGCAATAAACATGATAATGAGGCTCAAACATAAACTTGTCAGATGATGAATCCCCACATCACTGCACAGTTCTTCCATAAAAATTGTTCTTGTGCTAATACAGCTTAGGTAGTATTTTTAATCTTGTGTTTAACCTAAGGCATTTGCTGACAGCAGTAATATTTACTTCTGATCCTTACTCTGCAAAGCCAAACTAGACCCAACTTTTTTTTTAAACAAAACAACAGCCATCATCTAGTTAGATCGTTCTGTCTATGCCTGACTATCCTCACAGATGTTCTCTGTTTCTGCTCCAATATAAGTCCATCCTTTCTGGTGAACTCTTCATGCTATTCCAGATGTGATCCCATTACTCCCTCTCACACGGTGAAAGTGAGACTTCCCTATTGTATCATTCCTGAAGCTGTAAAATGTCCTTTTCCACAGCTGAATTGAATTGACCTCCTAAACCCAGGTGTCTGTCCTCCTCCTCAGTAGTTTCCAGACAATGGGTTGCCAAGGAATGGCAGAAAATTTTGTTAGATCAGAGCTCATCTATTACACTGCTGGAGCCATCATGGGGCAACAATCACCTTCAGCTTGCTGTGGTGCTCAGTGTGTGAGGAGAGAAGCTCCTCTGTGCACTGCACATCGTTGGGAAGTTCAGTCTCTGCTAAGTCTGTTCCAAAGGTCTGTAGCATCTGTGCTGTTGTTTTTACTGTCATTGCAAAGTTTTCAATGGCCTGGAAAAGCAAAAGCATAAAGTCACAGATTGGTTATTTACCTTAGCCCTTTAACAACATTTTGTGCTTCAGGCACACCATGCTGCAAGTATTACATGCCTGTAAAGCTGGTCACATTGCCTTTTTTTGGGTGGATGTGCTTAAAGTTACAAATTAAACCATGTGTCACAAACGACCTTTTCACAGGTCTGCACATATTGTCACCTCTGTGAGCCAATGGGGAACTCCCAGAGCTCAGCAGACATAATGAAACCACAGAGGACATCAGCTTCAAAGGCAGGCCTGGAACTTCAGATCCTCTGCCTATGCTTGCTGGGAAATTCTCCTCCATTTAAAATTTTAATGAAGGCTTTATTTAAGTTGAGAACACTACTAAAATATATAGGGCAAAGCCTTTATATTTATACAGCCATTGTTCACTCAGCAGTAATCTGTCTTTCCCTGACTTCTGAATATGTGCTTTTCCATCTTGCCTATCTGTATGAGATGCATTCTAGTCCCTTCCTCCCATCCGTCCATGCTAGTACACAAATACAGGAACAAGTAACTACAAATACAGTTAAAATGCATAAATTCATAGGATCATTGCTGTTTCTTTTTCACTTGGGTGCACCAATGCAAAACTTGTCAGAAATCTGGTTTTTGTGAAGAATGGGGAAGTGAGGAAGGCTAAAAAAAAACAATGCCACCTTTTCAGAGCAGAATATAATGTTCAGACCTGTGACATGAGATTAAACCTTTATATCTAGTAGCAAGTAACTGCATGGGATGTTTTTCCATGATCATGCTCAAATCTGGGGGTGGTTGTGTTATTCTGTATAGCTCTTTATTCTTTGTACATTTTGATCTAATCCCCCACAGGTCTGAGTCAGTCAACAAGCACTAGGGATGCTCTTGCACCCAATGAAACACTATGTAGCTGTTGCACATTGCTTTCCTTTTTCCAGCAATGATGGGAATTCACTGTTTGCAACAGTGACAGAAGAAATTATGCTTTGTGCTCAGTGAAAAACAAACTGGGGGTAGATCACCATTCAAAAGGTGTAGAGAGAAATTAGCCCACATTTGTGGTCTCAATCATGCCCCCCCATGAAGGAATGCTAGCAGAGTTCACAGCCTTCTTCCCTTTTCCCCCATAAATTCATGTCTGCTTTCAACACAAGCAGCACAGACCCACACATGCTCTATCTTGGTGCTCTGCAGCTGTATGCTGCTGTTCTCAGCACTGAAGCTACTGGATTAGAGTTGGCTGAAATGTCACACTTCTGACTGCAACACAAGACACGGCCATCCATGACCAAAGGCCATTTACTGAAAGCCAAAAATGCACTCTGGGGCCAAGAAAGTCCATAGGCTCCTGGCAGCCAAGAGAGAAGAGCAGAAACAGGGAATGATGCAAGGAGGGTGCTGTGTCACTGGCATTTAGCCAGGGGGTAAAGCTTTTTCAGAAGAAAAGCACTGGCAGGATAGGATATGAGAACACTGAGAGAAGCAGCAAAGGGCATGAAGACCATAGCTCAGCAAGACTGGAAGTCAGATCGTTTCAAGGTGCCATGGAAGCAGACATTTCCCTGATGACAGCCTCTTATCCAGCAGATATTCCTTGGCTGACTGCACCATGAACTTGTCAGTGTTTCACTTAATAGCATGCTTGCCCCCACTTTCTCCTGTGTACATGAGCAATAAATTGTTTCATGTACCTAAGTTACATCTGTGGATTGTTTTTTTTTTCCAGTCTCTGTGCTTGGTAAAAATTTTTCCAACAAATTTAACCAAAACCTCTGGGGATTATATAGCCCTACTGCCCTAAATTCTTGGCTCATTTTGTTTGCATATTTTTCCAAAATATGTATTATTTCTTTATGTAAACCCCTGTCATTAATAAGTAATACAACCTTTCTTGTGCCTCTTTTTATCCCCCTTCATATTTTCAAACCTTTTGCTGTTTGAAAGCTCTTATAGATGATTCATTTCTTCACACTCCCTCTTCCTGCAAGGACAGTTTCATATTTTTGATGCTTTTGACACATAAGCCTATTCCCTCATCTCAACCTTAACCTCATTATAGTCAACACAGTTATAAATGTAGAAAATCAATGTTAGACAAAGTTCAGATTCTATGTTTGCATATTTAGAAGCCTGAAATATTTGGTGGCTCTCAAGGAGACTAAAATTTAATTTTATAAGGACAGCAAAGCACAAAAACTATAGAAAGAAAGTGACAAAAGTGCAGAAAAGCTCTTTTGATGAGTTTGGTGTAACCTGCCCAGTAGCAACCAGACTCAAACCCAGGGCTGCTCAGAACTTTGCAAAATATTGAGGCTCACATTGGATGTGTGCTGTAATATATCAATCTTGCAAGTAGACCCACAAAGACAGATGCAAACATTGTATAAACTCTCTGTGAAATTAATTACTTTTCAAGGATTGTGACCCAGCTTAGCCCATTTTTGCTTAGGAAGAATGAAACAATATTTTGTCTGCTAATGTGCTGGAGTTTGGAGTCTGTTTTTTGTGAACTGTCATCTTAACTGGGCACCATAATGAATTGTTTACATTGTTTTGAAGCAGGCACTGCAATGCATTAACCAGCCCAAAAAGGGAACAATCAAACCTGTACAAGTTTCCTCAACAGAACAAAAAATATTTTGCCTTCCTACTAACAACTGTTCTTCAGTTACCCAAAATAAGACCCAGCTGGAGTGCATGCTTGTATAGTGCAGAAATGAAAAATAAAATATAGTGCCCTGAGTATTTTTATTCTCTTAAAAGCGTGGACATAATTAATCATTAAAGTGAGACTTTTGACCTTACTTTTGACCTTTGTAAAGTCAGCAAAGTGCTACAGCCTATTTTCAATTTCAGCTGAAGTCCTATGAATGCCATCAATTATTTAAAAGGCAAGAGAAGGCCTTGCTGAGTAAGAATAGCACGACACTGTTAGGCCCTGGGCCAGGTACACAGTGAGATGCAATTACTGCTTCCCTTACAAACTTTTGGGGAATTTGCCTTTCTCTGTTTGAGTCATGGATTTCCTCTTTCCCTGGGTCCCTAGCAGAATCCATAGGCTGTAATGCAACTGAAAAGCTCCTGCTTAATGGTTGCTCTGCATTTGTGCCTGGGACAGTTGAGGAGCAGATGTGCAAGAGCAGCAGCCCTCACCGTGCGGTGATGGATCCACTGGCTGTGGCCGTACTCCAGGGTTCCTCCCAGCTCCCGGGTCAGCTGGCTCTTGTCAATGTAGCCATGCAGATCAGAGACAGAATTTAACATGATGATCTGAAACGAATCCAAACACACTGGACTGAGAGAAATAACATGCCTTTCAATCATTGTTCCTAGGATTGGGGTTTGCCTGAACATGGATGACCACTGCAGTTCCACCAGAGGCTATCAGTTCTCATCTTGCATTTTGTCATGCCATGGCCAAAGTTTATTTTCCCTACATTTTGCCTTCTCAATGTGTACATGGACATTCTTGAACCAACCTTGGTTTGACATCATCTTCCTCCTTGCAGGGCTGACTCATTTTGCATGTGCATCAAGAGCCAAAGTATGGTATTGATAATGTTCAGACAAGGTTCCATAACATAATTTATTCTCTAGATAACATTTATTTACAGAGAAATAGAGGCACAGGCAAGTTAAACAGCTTCTTCAACACCAACCACTTGATTCAGGGAAGTGCTGAAATGAAACCATTGAGAATAAGATTTTTCGTTCCATTTTCAGATTTTTTTTTGGCACTGTATGTTCACTGAATTCACTGGCATTTTTCCATTTAAAATCATAATTAAAAAGAAAGGAGAAATACAGCTAGATCAATTATTTTACTTTAGAATCTCCTTACCACTAGACTTGCTTGAAGAAAGCCAAACAAGACTTGAGTTCAGCTTCAGATAAGCAGCATTAACTTTTGGCAACCACTGTAAATTTGTCAACACAAGTGGTTACACAAGTAATACTCATTTATTGTTGTTGCAACAGCTAGAAGATATGCCATGATTTCAGCAACAGAAGAATAAAAAGTTGAGTAGAAATGACTACGAAGTTTAAATAAATAAATAAATGTCAAAAATATGTCAAACGTGTTACTTGATCCTATTTAAAGAAAGCTTAAGCAGCTCTGCATGTCAGCAGGCTCCAATGGTGCATGGTAACTACACTGACAAACACTGGACAGTGAGATGAGTGTAGATGTATGGAGACAAGAGGATGCATATTCTAGGATAAGAGTTCTCTAAGAAAAGCCTCAAGAACAAACCTGGACAAGTTTTTAGCTGGTCTTTATTACAGAATCTTTCTAATTCAGGTTGGCAGGAACATCAGCTCTCTAGTCCAACTTTTTTCTCAAAGCTGTGTCAGCTGTGAGATCAAACCAGGCTGCTCAGGTCTTTATCCACCTAAGACTAAAACCATCCAAGGATTGAGACTGTACAACCTCTTTGGGCAGTCTGGTCTGCTGCCTGACTGTCTTTGTGGTGAGCAAGTTTTTCCTTATGTCAAGTCAGAGCTGCCCTTGTTTCACTTTATGTCAGTTATTTTTTATCCTGCCACCACACACAAGCTGGCTGCAGTGCCCAGTATCCTGGAGGGACTGGAAAGCTGCTGCTATGTCATATTAACCCTCCCAAGCCTTCCCTTCTCCACATTAGGCAAGCACAGTTCCCTCAGCATCTTCTTACAGAACACATGCTCCAAGTCCTGACCTTCCTGGCTTTCCAAGATTACTCCAGATTAATATTTTTATTGTACTAGGGGAACCAAAACTCAGGGTGTTCTCAATGTGAATTAATTAGAGCCAAGTAAAGGGGGATGTGTGGTTGTCTCAACCTGTTGGCTATGCTCCCGTTCATACTGCTCCTGTTAATGCAGGATGCTGATGGCTTCCTTTGCTGCCAGGCCACATTCTGGCTCATGTACAGCCTGCTGTTTACCAAGTTCCCAGCTCCTTTTCTGTAGAGATGCTCCCCAGATAGTCAGGCTACAGTGTGAATTGTCAACCACACAACTGTTGCGTTGTTGGAAGGGAAGAACATGAGTTCTTTCTTGAGTAAGAAAATCCTTGTGGAAAGAAAATCTTTCCCAGTTGCAGGACTTTGCTTTGCCCCTTTGGTATATATAAAATAATATGCTGATCAGCCCATTCCTTGAGTTTTTGTTCCAGTGGCCCTGTCTTGGAGCATACCATCTGCTCCTCCTGGTTTAGTGTCATTTGCACACTTGATGACAGTGCAGCCTGTTGCCTCTTCCATGTCATTGATGAAGACATCAAACAGGGCAGATCCCAGCAGATATCACTCACTACAACACTCCACTTGCTGCCCACTTCCAGGCAGAGTATGACCCATTACCATTACCCTCCTAACCCATCATGAAACTAGGTTTTAAAACCACATGTAGTTGTCCATCCATCCAGACTTTAACTTGACTTGGATACAAGAATATAGTGGAGGATGCATCTGGCCCCAGGGAGCCATACAGGCTGAAAACTCTCAAGTAGGCCCTCACTCTGTTCTTTTTCACTTCCAGCAGTTCATCTTCTCCTTAACCCCTGTCTTTAAACACAGAAACAAGATCATCTTGTTGGTGAAGAAACTGTAGCAAAGAAAGGTATCTCAGCCAAAGTTAAAGGAAAAACTGTTCCCTGAATGTGTTATGAAACACTGTTCTGTTATGATCAAAGCCAGAAAACTCAAAAAGCTGCATCATCTTGAAAAGGCCTCACACTGGAACATAAAGTCTATGCACTAATTCTGAATTGGAAATCACATTTGAAAAAGTAAATCTTAACTGCTTTGTAGCTCTTCCCCATCAGAGATGTTGCTGACAAGATGGAACTCTTCTGATACTTCAAACCTCACTGAAACCACAGAGGTACACTGTTATGCAGTTTTCTTTTAGAAAGAATTTTATATTTGTTTTAACTTGGTACGCTCAGCATGAGCCACTAAACAAACCTATTAATATTGCCAACTATGGTGCTACCCAACGGGGTGTGGGTCTTCACCATGCAGGCATTCCTGCAGGAGAAAGCCTATGAGCAATCCAGCATTTGTCTAAAAAACCAATCTAAGTGAGCATTAGCATCTCCCATGCTGCTTGCCAGACAGGAGACAGTCACAGTCAGTCACCTGGAGAGTGCAAAGGAGCAGGAGTTTAGAAGAGAAGGATCAGTGTGGAACATGGAGCTGTGGGGGGCTGCTTCTGGATGGGTTAGGCTGTCAAAAAGAAGTCACAGCCTACAAAGCTCAGGGAAGTACTTGCTGTGGACAGATTGTTCAGACTTTTCTGTATGTTCTGAAGATGCTTTAATTCACTTCCTATGACGGGATGTTCCTTGGGTGCATCTCTGGGTGTTTCTTTTGAATTCATAGATTTCAATCTCAGATGAACCCTACTGTGTCTCCTATATTTCTATATCTTGATCCTGGCTAATGATATCTACTCAAATCATGATCCCAATAGAAATTTACCTGATGAGGTTTTATTACCCACATTTGTATGTCAATGTGATATAAATCCTGCATTTCCTTTTTGGTGTCTGGTTGGTAATTTCAGCCTTTATTTCCAGCTCCTGTTTGATCTTCCGGTTTCTACTCATTCCAGTATTGATTTAACCCAGAAAATCTATTTTACTGAGCATATTTGCAGTCTGATAGCTCAAATAAACTATTAAACAAATGTTTCCTTAACAAACACACACAATATTCTTGGAGCTCGTTTTGAATGCTCATGTCTTGGTCCTGACTCACAGCTGTGATAGGAAATGCCACCCATCCACGGGCCAGTTATGACATGAATGTTGTCATAGAGCCAAACACACAACACAAACAAACAACCTGCCAAGAATTTAAAAGATCATGGTGATACTGAAGATAGGTACTGATCCCTAATTCCTTGAGTAAGGACCTCTCCAGTGGGACAAGAACTCTGTGGTCCTGTTCTCCTGCTTGGCACTTAGGATGCTGTTTTCAAGGAGGACAAAGAGATATTGCTCTCAGTAACTTCCCTGCTCTGAAACTGGGGTATGCAAGACATGCCCAGGTGGTATTTTTAAGATGGGAAACACAGGAGAAAAGCCCCCCCAGAGAGCACGACAGATGCCAGGAACTTACACCACCTCTAGTACAACCCTAAGTAATTTAGAATAGCATCAGACATATGTGGGCAGCCTGTCTACAAATCTGACAGGCTGTCTAAAGACATCTGGGCAGGAGGCGGCAAGCATGTCATGCTCTTAGTTTTTGTAAGGCTGCTCTCTAAGAGCTCTGTGGGCATACCCAGGATGGCTCAAAATATCCAAGATGACCCCAAACTAAACTGATATCTTGATTTTCCTGCCTGTAAGAAAGATAAGTTAGCATTTCATACTTAATGCAGTGCTTGGCCCCTGCCTAGAACTAACCTCCCTTCCAACTTTGATCCTTTCCAAGTTTTGAAATGCAACTCTGATGTCAAATAAATTGCTAAAAGTATAGGAAATGCTGAATTGTTGGAAAATGCCAGTCCTTCATGAAGTTGTCCCTTTCTGGGCTGCAGTCACTGGTACAACAGTTGCTATAGCAACAGATGGTGGCATATTAAATATAGGTACATGCATTTTTTAAAGTACTATAAAATATTTTGGGTTGTATTCAAGCATAAGTTTTTCATCAACTTTGCATTTTACCAAAAAGCCACCCTTACCAAATGACAGTAAATGTTACAATTTAACCACAGTAACCAAATATCTATTCATGCTTCCTTTCCTGTGTGCACTGCAATAAACAGCTGCTGTCTCTCACTTCAGGAGAAGCGGGAAGTGTTTTTAACATCTGAATTCAAACCTGAGTTTCAATACAGCTAGAATTTGTTAGAGGAGAGCCATAAGTATTTTGCAAAACAACATAAACCCAAAAACAAAGTCCAAAACATCTGAAATCCCTCCAGTAAAGTTACTGTGAAACACAATATGAGTCTGATCCAGGATAAAATATCATCAATAATCATAATTCAAGTTTATTTATAAAACTTTAAAAATTTTGACACCACTTGCAAACATGCAGCTAAAAACAACTCCTAAAATACCCCTCACAGAATAATCTCCAACTCTTTCAGGATTGCTAACCTTCTTCATATCACAGTCTCATCAACCTACAGCATATGCCAAGTGCAAATAAAAATAAGTAAAACACAAACTCTGAATCTTGAGGATATGGGAATTATAAAAGACATTCAGACTAAGCAATGTTACAGGGACAGTTAGTGCTGCCATGGATAACCCATCAAATAGTGCAGAATTCAGCCCTAGGCTTCTGCTGCTCTGTATTCCTGAATACTTATGTTTGTCACTGGAGTGGGATCTACCTCTGCCTACAAGAAGGGAACATCTCCACTGAATTAAAATGCCAGTACTTAAAAACGGAGTCACATTGTATAGCTAGACTGGACATGGAAACATGCCCATTAAACACTGTGAACCGTCCACTGCTAAATAACTCTTTGGCATCACCCCACAGACCCAGATGAAAGGCCCCAGGTGCCACTTGCAATCCTGGGTTATGGGAAATTGCTGACAGCCCAGAACTGCAGAAATGGAGAAAAGAAAATGCATGGACAAAAAACTGCATGCTTACCGGTACCTTCATTTTAAAGTCATCTCGATAGAGCTTAATGCCAATGTCAGCGATTGCCCTTTGGATAAAGCGGGAGGGTCTCAGGACAAACACCAGCTGCAGGTTTCCTGGAAATGCTCCCTGCAAGCAATATAGAATTCTTAGAAGGCACATTTCTACCTTGCAAGGGAATTTTCAGCCAAGTGTATCCTCACCAGTAGGGCTAAGTAGAAAGGACTTGTGCTCATTGCCTCAGCTGGTCCATTCAGCATGTGCTCATAGTCACTATTTCCAAGCCCAGCAGGAAGACTGACCCATGGATTTTACTGCCCAGCCACACGTTATTTCATGATACAGATTTATCACAGTGGTCCAAAGTTCCTGACAAGTGCCTTTCTCCCCCATATCCAAACCCCACCAAGCCCCATTTGCACCACCACACCAGAAGGTTTTCCATTTTTTAGGCTGCAGCCACTAGAGGGCAAAGCTGGCTGCCCGCGTTGGTCTGGTGAGGGAAGCTGGTGGCACAGATGGATTCCCCAAGCTGACCTACCTATTCACCCTGCAAAGGGTTTTGAATCTTTTTAACCTCACATATTTTTACACACAGGCAGGCACTCAACATGTTCATCAGATATGGCCCTGCCTGCAACACCCAGCCTACATCTCTCACACTCCTCTGAGCTCATCAAGCATAGAAAAAGAACAATTTCTTGAAGAGAGCAGTAAAAAAGCCTGAGAATGAAAAACATTTCTGTCTAAATACCTTGAAAGAACTTAAAGTCGCCTTTGTCATCCTGCATCCTACACCTCTGTGTGTAAGTGCTTGGTCCTCACACAGTAAATGTTCCTAGTAAGTGATGTATATAAAACCAGCTGCTTTTTTCAGCACTGAAAATCAGTGCCCAGCTCTGAGTTTTGCAAATAAGCTATTAAGAGTTTCTGACAGAGATCGTTTACTACTGTGCAAACACAAATCCCTTGGGATCTATTTCTTTCATAAGCAGGCCACGTCATTCCCTCCTCAGGGCACAGAAGGGGTACCTCTTAATACTCCTCTAGGAACCAACTTCAAATTACTAGAATATATATTGCAGTCAACCCAGAAAACAAGGAATTTGTCCTAATTCAGCAGTAAACAAGACTATGTAATTTGTCTCTGCAGCTTCCTCCCTCTGTTATTTAACACTTATGAGCTGCAGGGCCGAGGAGAATCTGCATCCACAGCCAGAAAATAGGAGCTTAAAATGAGCACAGGAGGCTGTATCGTGTGCTGAAGGTTCAGCAGACAATTTTAATTTCTAGAAGATAAATAACAAAAGCAAGCACTTACTGCTATTCGTGTCAGGGATGCCTTGACTGCACTCCATTTGTCCCGTCGTCTGTCTATGATGATGATGAATCCGATGCTGGCAGCCTCCAGACTGCAAAACAGATGAAATAGGTGTGCTGGGTTACAGGGAGACACTCCTGTTCCAAGGCAGAGAGCTGCAGCAAAACACAGCCTCCGTCACACCACGCTCGGAGCCCATTATGAAAACACAACGTACAGTGGAAAGAATGAATATTTGGCAGAAACGCACATGAAAAGGAAAGCCAGCAAAATTTCTCTTTCCAGCATGAGGCTAGCAGCTTACACAAAACATGAATATTTTATCTGCTGGATCTCTCAGCTGCTGTGCTACTCTGCTGCCAGTCTAGGTGACATGAATAGTTCAGGATCACAAATTACACTGTGCTCTTTTGAAGACAAAACCCCCATATCTTTTTTTTTTCCCTGCAAAATTAGACACCCCCCCTACAGTCTTCATTCTCCAAGTATGCTGACACCTGAAAGGGGCACTGAGCTCCAGGGCATCAGTATCCCCTGTCTTGTGTACACAAAGTCCCAGGAATTCTGGTAGGCAAAGCAGAAAATGAAGAGTTCTGTTTTGCCAATCACAAACCTGTTCTGGGGTTGCAAGTCATTCAAAACTATCCTTTTCAACATATCAGCTAGAATAACAGTTCCTGTTCCTTCTCAATGCTTTTCAAGGAGGATCTAGGAGGTAGTGATTTGGTGCTTCATTCCACCTATGTAGACTCCATCCTCTCTTTCCCTCTCAAAAATCCTGCTCTGGAGTGCCCGGTTTCAGTGGGACTACTCTTCTCTCTGCCTTCCAAGAGCACTCAGCATTGGAGAAGCTAAGAAGTACACACTGAGTGTCCAGAACCTTCACCAGAGCAGGATAGCTCAGCCATCTCAGGACAAACCAGAGACAGGCATAAATGTCACAATCAGAGGACATACTGTAATCAAACATCTTATCACAAATTAAGGAAAAAAAATGGTTTAAAATATCTCCTTGATCCCTATTGCACTGTCCATACAAGGACCAACTCAGGAAATGTTTCCATGGGTCATTTTATCCAAACTCATGTCAATAATCTGCTGAAGACTATCAACACAATAACAACTCTGAGCTCTTGCTGCAGCCTTGCAGGATCAAAAACTGAAAGCCAAAGTATTGTGCAAAACTGGGATGCCATGTGAATGCTCCTAGTAGTTCATACTGATAACAGGAAAACTCACTGAATTTTCCAATTTAGTATTTTTACAGCATTCCTCTGAGGATTACAAAATTCAATGACAATACATGACCTTTCCTCTTCAGTAGTGCAACATGCAGCTCTCTGCAGAGGACAGAAAATATGTTTGCAACAGTGCCTCTCAAACACAGGGAAGAGAACTCATCTGTTTTACCTTTTATAAATACACAAATGTATACATACTCTTCAGTAGTCTTAGATATACACAAACACATACACATGCTTCAGTAGCTCAACAAATATTCCACAGAATAAAATTCCTTGATAATGTTCAAATAAAGTTAACAAGGATATTGTGTGTGTTGCAGATTGTTACAGAAAGGGTGAGAAACTAAACACAAAAGTGTCAACCTGGGCCCTTCACCTTCAAATGACGTTCAGCACAGCATCAGTTGTTGTCACTGAAATAAGCCAATGGTACTTGTATGTTTGCTTTTTGATGTGGAGGGTTTTTTTTTGTTTTGCTTGTTTGTGGGGTTGTTTTTTTGTTGTTGTTGGGGGGTTTTGCAGATTTTTTTTTCTTTTTAGCTAGACAGGACTGACTGAAGTCCTAAATTTAACCAGTCCTAAATTTAAACAGAGAGCGTGTCAGCAAGTGATCCTATTTCAGCAGCATGCTGAAAGGCCATGCCAAGGTCTGAATGTCATTTGGCACCAAGGGATGGATGCAGGCACACAGCCATGGGAAGAGGCCTGGCCGAGATGGCAGCATCAGCACAAGTGGATGTACAGCTGAGAACCCCCACTCCAGTGTGCATCCAGAGAAAGTTTGCTGAAGAACAAACACACACACACACACATTCTATCAATGTTTGCTCAGTGTCAGTACTGTAATATCTCTACCTTCATTATGAAAATGCCTTGGGGTTTCTCCAGTTCTCTGAAAAGGAGGATTTGAAGACAATCCCAAAGAGCAGATAAACATCAGGCTTACCTCCAAAATAAATTCTGGCACATTTGCCCAGATTTACAGATGCTTGGCAGAAAGGTTCTCTTTCCCTGAATGAAATATCTGCAATCAGCAGAACTCTTCCATCCTCAGCTCTATATTCAGGTTTGCCCTCAAATACTCACTTGAGATGTTGAATTTCCTGACCTCTTTTGGAAGGAGAAAAGGACATCTGTTTATCAAAGTACTTAATCAAGTTAAAGAGAAAGAAATTCTGGCCATGGAATAAAGCAAGTAAAAAAGGGCTTTCTGGAGCTATCTAGTGCATGCACAGAGACATGCATGTGCACACACCATGTTACTGAGTGTCTGTGGATGTGTTTGTATGAAGACTCCTTTGGTGGAGCACTCTCATGAGCAGGTGTTGAACCACAGGGAAAATGAATCAGGTTACAAAAGTCTTACTGGGCTGATCTTCAATCCTATAATATGTTTTGTCAGATGAGCATATAAGATTAATCATTCCAGAGGGACTTAGAAAGTTACTAAGTGTTAGTAATGTAAGTGATGTTATCTGCAATCACAGAGCTTATCTCCACAACTAGCATGGACCTTATTGTACAGGATATGCAGAATCAGACACTATAAAAGACAGATATTCTCTCTACATTTGCCTGGAAAATGATGCTGATTTCTCTGGTTCACTAAGCTCTGAAGAAGTATTTTCTATGATAAATAGGATGAACTGCTTTTCAAACTATACCTCATCTCACCTGATTCATGGCCATACCCTCTGTAACTCCAGAAGAGTTAGAGACAGCTCTCTTGTTCTTAGTCACTTTGTTGGATACCTTCACATCTTTCTTGAGAATTAAAGCAGAAGGTGGACTACTAGCAGTGAAGCTACACACACAGGAATACTGTTATATTACACACAGCATTATCTAGTACAGTAGTGCTGGCAAAAGTAACAATGCACACCTTTTACTGCTGTACATGGCAAAGACTCTGTGTGCATGGACCAAGCCAACTGCAGATTGACAGAGCTCTGCTGCACCCAAACAGGTCCACTACTTAGGCCTCATTGAGTTTGAGCTCTATGTAATTATGTCATAAATCACACAAAGCTTTCTGCTCAGGATCTTTTTCTAAATTAACATCTTTCTTCCTCATCATTTACAGAGATAGTGGCAAATTTCAAATGGTGACTCAAGAAATGCAGGCAATCCTTCTAAAAGCACTGCAATAAAGACTAGAAAATTTCTTGGAAAATTCATATCCCTTCAGTGTGGTCTAGGCTCAAACCTAAGAGCCAAGCCAATGTGCTGGTACGCAGAAAATGTACCTTGAAACCCCAGCTAGTCAGTGACCTTGAACAGGTAATTTAGAGCAAACTGGGCAGTCACTTACTCAACACAAGTTTTTGTGAGCCTGCTTGTAGAGTGATATATTACTCACATATATGTCATCATCTGTAAAATAGGTATATCACAGCTCTCCTGACTTACAAAGTTTGTTCATTCTTTGCACATGGCTCTGGGATTCCTCAGGGGAAGAGAAAGCAGAGAACTGGAATTGAAACAAAGCAAAAGTCCATCTAGTTCAACACCCTGAGCCCAGTGTTGGTAGATAGTGGCTACTGAGATAAAGGCAGCAGGAAAATGAGAAGGCCAATATTTCTCTTGGTATATTCTCCCAAGCCCCAGCATTAAGGAATAAATTAATTCCTTCAGCCTGGGTTTGCATTTGAGCCATTGTGTCCAGCTGCCATTGATGGAGCAATCCTTCATGAATTTGGCTTATTTCTTTTGAATGCATCTGTGCTTTTGGGCTTCACACAGGCTGCAGAAGCTCAAAGCATTTCTGTCTATCATGTTGACAATGTAACATGCTGGTTCCCCACATGTGACAAAATCACAGGGAATCATCTCCCTGCATAGCAAGTACAAAGAACTGAAAAACTACTTTTATGGTTTTCCCAGCCACTGATGCTGTTGTCTATTGACCTGAGGCTGGTCACCCTCCCAGTCCTGAAGGAGTAAAGAAATACTGAAAACAGAGTTTCCCCTGGCGAACAGAAGTCCCACAGAGCAGAGTGAAACAATGAAGCTGTTAAGTTCACAGTATGTGGTTTCTCTCAGCTTGCTTTGGCAGCTCTGGCAACAACTTTGGCAAATACACGGAGGTGGAGCTGTAAAACTTCTCACTCAAACTTGAAGGAGGCACGTTTTCAAGCACCTTTTTGCAGAAGACCACAGGAAATGATAAATAATTGCTGTGCTTCTCATTATTACAAACAGCCATGGTCTAGAGACAGGATCAGGGGACTGAAAAAATATTAAGCTCTCTTAGATAAGCAAAAAATAATTCAGCAGTCATGCTTTTCATTTCCTCAGAGGAGGGGAACTCAAGTTTGTTTCACTATCCTTATAAAGCTGCAGGCAAAAAGCAAGGAAAACATCCTGGCTGTGGAGCAATCTCCAAAGAAATGAAGTACCTGAAAGCACATGGTCCTTGCCAGAATCCTGTCAGTGGGGCACCTCACTTGCTTTCTCAGCAAGGGGAAAGCTGCACAGAAAGGTGCACTCAGAGGAAAAGCAGTCATGGGGCCTATGTAAGTATGGCTCCTTCCTGAAGCAGCCCTTCCCTCATTACATCCAGTGCCCTTGAGGCTTTTCACAAACACCCCCCTTTAGCTTCCTTTGATCTGCCATCTTTGCTGCTGCTCTTCAGAACTATTCCTGTCCTAATTCAGTTCAACCTGCCCTGTTTGAAGCTTTCTTTTCCATGAAAATTACATAATTCCTAGGGCCTCTGGTGTATAGGGAAGTTTCATAATGACTGGAGAGATGCAGAGGCACTGGTATGTCCTGGTAGCACAACTAAAATCAGTGAGCCACTGGGAAAGCAAAACTCTCTAGGAAATCAACAGAAATTTGTGCTTAGTCTCACCTGGGAATGCTGGTTAGATAAGTGACCACATTCAGAAAATCGTCATCAGGTATCTCACTGAATCCTGCAAATTCTGGAAAGGTTATAATGGGTGCCCCATCCTTCCCTCTTCCTCCTGCAAAAAAAAAGTCAAAGTTTAGAAGGTGATTTTATGACTTTGGACAGCCTGGTCAGTACTCAAGTGGGAAACACTGGCATACTTCTCCTTGTAAAGCACCCACATCCAGTAATCATCGTCAGCTCCCATCTGATACAACTCATTGTAGTTTCATTACCTCTGTTTACTCCAGATGAGATTCTAGCCTTTGAGATTCTCAGCTTTTTCATTAACCTTCTGCAAAATTCTGATTAAGTGCTTTTTTTCCTTAAGAATGCTCAAATGCATGGAGGAATTTTTCTTATCATACTTATTTGCACCAAAACACTGATAGGACAGGAAACTGCAAAACTCATAAGCAATAAGGTTGAGTCCCTTTCTGAGGGATTCAGAAATCTACCTGATTCAGATTCAGGTAGAGCCACAGGAGGCATGGAGCCAAGCCCCTTGGAAGCAAGCAGCCTTTACAGCTCTCCTGACACGATGCTCAGCCCCAAGAGCTGCTGCAGCCCACAGCACAAACCCTGTTTACTTGTAGCACCATTCCTAACTTGGTTCCACTAATAAATCTGGGCATTGCTCCAACCACACAGAAGTTACAGGGGATTTTCTCACCAGCTTGGGTCAAAGCTGAGAGCAGACTGAGGAGGCAGCAGCACATAAAGCAGCATGATGAAACAAAGCTTTTGTTATAGGTATCTTATTGCTTAATTCTCCTTAAACAGAGTATTAAGAATATGCTTTTCCCTGAGTCTTTCTCCTTTCTCTGCAATTTTTATTTAAACATATTTTTTGCACCAGGCTCAGGAACTCTCTAACAACACAGTACTGAGTGAATTTCTGCTGCAGACTCAGTTTTCTGAGTCATTCATGACACACAAAGGACTCTTGCCCAAGGGACAGCCATATTCTGGGCTTCTCTTTAGTAAAGAGGAAGCTGTGAGGCAGTAAATTACCTTCCTCGGGAAAATATCCAATAAATTATCCCATTAGGAGCATGGGAGTGGGGGAAAAAACCCCATTCTCATTCCTTGAAAGCACCCTCTAAATCCCCATAAATAATCCCCGTTTCCAGGCTGCTCCCATCCACCATTGCCTTTCCCTGTTGATAACCACGGTTGATGCCACAAACCAGTTTCTCCTGCTCTGTTGGTGGTCATTGCAAGGAGGTGCTCCAGTAATTCCTGGCTATTTCTCTGTAGAGTGGACAGTCCCTTGCTAGTCCTGATCCTGCCTCTGCCCTATCCTCACCAGCCTCAGTTGGATGATTTAAAATCCCTTCTGTGCTGTCTGGCCATGGAGAGCTGGAATGCTGGGGGATACAATGTTTGCACAAGGTAAAACTCAGAGCTCTAGAAAATAGGAATTTTGAACTTTTTCTTCTTGACATCTGGTGACATGGTATCAGCACACTACCTTTAGCCCCTCCTTTCCTTTCTGAAGGTTGATTATTGCTTTGACTACATCTGAAAATGACTCAGTTGTGTGAGATCATTCACTATCTCACCTTGCTAAGGAGAAAACAGGCTCAAAAGTCTCTCAGCCAAGAGGGAAAGCAAGAAAGCCATTATTCACACTGCACTGAATTGGATTTCAAATGCTAAGCAGAGCCACAGCCTCCACATTGACCTCCCCACTGGCCTTGGGGTGATGCCAAATGCTGATGCATGGCAGCTGGATCTCCAGCTGCACTGTCTGCAGTCAGCAGTGATGTAGAATATGCTGTCTTGCAAATTTAGTCAGGCTTCCCCCAGACTGCTGCACTCTAGACCAGGAACTCCAACCAGCAGGTACCCAGTTAGGCTGGTTTGTTACAGATTCTCAGTGACACCTCCTGGACACAAACAGTAACAGCCAGGAAAATTTAATCCAAACAAATTTGTCTGCTGTCTCTTTGTGCAGAGCTCAGTACATGCCAAGGCATTTCATATGTAGTATCTTGTGAACATTCACAGGATTTCTGGGCACCAAACTTTCCCATTCACATATTTCAAATATGTGAATATACCTTAAATGAGAGAGATGTAGCAACTTGGAATATTTTGGTTTAAAGCAGCAATATTTGCCACTGAAGGATAAGGTAGAGATTCCCCTGGATTCCCTATTTTAACACCTGATAGTTTAGCTACAGTTATATTCAAGATTTGTTCAAACTACAAGTTTCAAAGGGTACTTCTAATGCTCCTGCTCATGAGGATCTCTTTGTGTCCCTTTTATTTCATCTCCTGCATCTCCATTCACATATGTGCTCTTCTTCCCCTGGCCTCTTCCCTGAGCTGGATGAGGCAGGCTGATGATGCACTCTGTGTATTTTTGTCATGGGATCTTCTCCTATAAAAAGCCATCCAAAGAATGAATGTAAGCAGACCGAACACTGACTTATTCCTTCCACCACTGGCAACAAATCTAGGACACTTAGGAGCAGCCTCAGACTGAACATTCAACTAAGAGTCAGCAGCTCCTGCCTCTGACTAAGCCACAGGCCCTTAACAGCTGCTGATCTCTATCTCATTCTCCAATGTGAAGGCAACACTTGCTGCTTCAACCACACCAGAACCCTCAGATGGTTGAGCAGAGCTGTTTTTCAGACAGGGAAATAAACAAGGAAACCTTCAGTTCCTGCCACACCAGGAAATTAGAGGGAAGTTTGAGGGAGTTTGGTATTCAGAAATTGTTAAGTGCTATGATGAGAAGAGAGCAGAAATGTGTAAAGTGTTGAGTGACAAGAAATACCACAAATATGTTACAAATTAGTTTTTCCTGCCCATATCTGAAGTTCAAGCAGTAGTTGAGTTACAAAGGAAAATTATCTATATCCATTTGGATAAGGGATATAAGGGAAGCTCTTTAAATACCAAGAGTGTCTGGAAAACTCTCTCTTCAGTACAAGAGAGCAATTCCATACATCTAAATGTTAATGCCAATTTTTCCCTGACACTAATCCAAGAATTGCTGCAGTATGCAAATTTCTGCAGAATGTGGATTGACAAGCTGCAGCCCTTTTTTCCTCGGCCATCAACCTTTCTTTCTAGGGAGTTGCCACAAGATTTCTTCCAGTCCTTGAAATACTTTAGCTAGATACTACTCAATGTCTTGAAAGGACAGACAGCAGAAACTAAAAGACAATAGGGACAGTCTCCAGTCAGCACCATAGCCATAAGGACTGAGTACATGGAATTTGTCTTTTATGAAATTTAGAAGAGATAGCACACAAGCTGTATCAGAATTATACAAGGTACCCATGGTAATGGGACCTTCACTAACTCTGAGGTGTGCCAATCCCCAATGTCCCAGGACACAGAGCAGCATTCACAGCTGCTCCTATTAGACAGACTTTCCAGCAGCCAATGCAGCCTGGATAGCTGCTGCAGTGAAGATGGGGCCAGAATTCAGCTGTGGAAACAAAAGCTGAAGTATCTGGGGAAGGAATATATGTGGGGAGAAAAGGTTATGGCAGCTGAGAAAATTTAATTTTGCTTTGCAGTGTAAAGGGTGTGATTGACAAATGAGGTGTGAGTGCTGAATTCTGAGAGCTCTCTCAGTGGAAGCTGTATATTGGTATGACTGATGTAAAAGCAGAAAGCAATCACAACTGCAGGCCAAGACCCTGAACACAATGAGGATCTTAGAAAATTTCCCACTCCCAGTTCCAGCCCTCCCCATCTTCCACCTAGGCACAAAAAATATCCATGGTTGAGACAATAAGGGGCTACACTAAAGTCCTATTCTATAGCCAGCAGCTCTTCTAACTAGAGATCACCAAATATGCTGAATCCCTTGGGAAATAAAACCAAAACAAATGAAAAGCACCAGCCCAACAAAGGGGCTATAGTCAGAAGTTCCAAAAGTTAGTCTGCAAGTTTCCAGAGCTCACCTCCCCAGCCTGCCACAGACAGAAACTCATCAGTTAGTATTGGAAAGTGTTCTCTCAAATGCTGCTGACACTTGCAACCTTACTGCTTGGGCCTGCCCACATGCAGAGAGCTCCCTGAGTCATCACAGCCCAGCCCTGACTACAGTTCGTCTCCTGGGTCAGCCAGCCAAAAAGTCTAATGATATCTTGGCTGAAGTTTCACTGCTTTGGTCAGGTCTTGCTTTTTTCCAAGCTCTGTTGTTTTGGTTTGCCATGTTGATTAATGGTTGTGAGTGATGAATTTCTCATTAAATCATGTTTCCTGGGTCTCAATTTTTATAAAAGATCCAAACTGTCCTTTTGGCAAGGTCAGGCCAGGTTTTCCAAAAGGCTCAGTTTAAACAGGAAGCAGATGGCCAAATACCCTCCAGACTTTGCAAATTAAATAAACTGGCTTCTGAGTCAGTTACCATTTTCAGATATACTCTCCCATCCACTGAAGTCTGTTAACAGGAGCAGAACACAAAGAAAACGATTCTCCCTGCTAATACACTTCGTGACAGTTTGTCTAATAAAGTCGTGATTTAGCAACATGATCCATTATTGCTGCAAATGGCAGATTGGGATCTTTGACAGAGTAATTACAGATAAGAACAGGTTGTGAAGCTGCAGATAAAAAAGTGGGGGGGGGGGGGGGGGAGAATGGTAGCAATTCCAAGAGCAGATTGGTACAGCAGGACAGAAAAAGTATTTTACTAGTGGTTCTTTATTCTTGAGTAAAAACTGGTGTGTTAGAATAACCTGGCTTTCAGTACTACCCAACTTTGTGATCTAGTTCCCTTAACACCTACAGGAAACACACAAACCTAGCTGAACACTCCTGTGTTGTCACAGCTGTAGTCCCATAATTGAGAGTTTGGTTTTCAGGGAAAGGCAAGAGCCAGTAGTGGTATCAAAGCTAGAATTTAACCACAAGAAGCAGTACTCCTACCAGATCTCACAAGCTAAGCAGGGCTAAATCAGCACATGGGAAAAGAGATGACCAAAGTAAAATTACATCATTAAGGACATTGCCATATTGCATTGCAGCCTTTTCCATGACCTCAGTGGACCAGAGAAGGCTTTGGAGAGCTACCCTGTTCTTGGCATGGAGTAAGGTCTTGATTAGTCTGGTAGGTGGAGGACCAGGACAAACAGGAGGCTGTTATTAGGTAATAGATAGACCCTGACACAATCAAACACCAAACTCATTAGACTTGTTATGTAATTCTTACCATCTGCTCAGAGACCACAAGACAGTCAGATCCTCTTAAGAAGTTTGCACACAGCAATATGGAGAGAAGTGTTTGTAATGAGTCATGTCCAGAGAAAACAAAGAGGCTTTGATTCAATCATTTTCCCTTTTCTTTTTTACTTTACTGCAAGGAAACATCGTGAGTTCACTGCATCTGCCTCAGCTGCCAGCTGTTACTAAAAAGGTGTTATTAACCAAAGAAATACTCATCTATGACAAAGTTTACAACAGTCAACCATGGACTTCCATTATCACTGGACAGCTGCATTTGGGGTCCACAGGACTGAGCAGGAGAGCTTAGCAAAGCTAGAGGCTGTGGAGTAACACAAACCAGACTCAGTGCTACATCCTCTGGGCTCTGCACAGGCATGGAAGAGGTGACTGTAAATCAGTGTATTCCACTGTTAGGAATTGTTCAGAGAAACATAATTTATGTCCATAATGCTCTACAAGGACATTGGAATTGCCTTTTACTGCCCAAGATAGTGACACCAAAGAACGGAAGGGCTTTTTTTTTTCTTTTTTTTCTTTTTTTCCAGACAGTGGCTACTGAGCTGCAACATTTCAAAATGGAAAACCAGTAAATAGGCTAAGTATCAAATTTTCAGCCACCATGTAGGCAAGCATTGAAGCACCAAAATATTTGTGGTTGCTCATACCTAATGAAAAACAGCTAACAATATGCTTTCAGGCAAAGCTACAAAGCCATCTGGGAAAAATCTAAATCAAATGAGGTCATTTAGGTGTGAATTACTTTAATAAGTGAAACGAGGCAGAAGAGTGCCCAGTTTTGTTTTCATTGCATGAAAAAAAAAACCCAATCTTTTGCTAAAGGAAAAAGAATGTAACGTTATTTAGAGAAATGCATTTTTGAAAAGTATAGTAATGTCTGGTTTGCACCTAAAGTTCTCTTTGCAGGAGGCACTAGAGGGAGAGTAAGGAAGATTCCTGCTATGTTTTACCTATGACTCACCAGAGGTCACTAACAGAATAAGACACTGGGCCAAAGGGGCTTCTAAGCCTCCCTTATCTTCTTCACATGCTGCCATGGGGATTCTGGAGTGGAGGCACCCAGGTTTCCAAATTTACCTGTAAACTTCAGACTGATACAAACTTAGAAACTATGAACTACACTGCCCTGTTCTATAGTAGGATACTATTTCTGGACTCTACTGAGGAGATTTTAGATAAGCTTGAAAATTCTTAAAATGTGATTTGTTATTTAGGTAGATGGGGGCATGAAAGACATCTTCTCACTCTCCTTTGCTATTTGTTAGTACTTCTATGTTGATGAGCCACTTATTTGCTGATTCCTAACAAACAAGCCCCTCAGCCTTGCCTTCTTTGAAGAGTTATTTTTCAAGTCTTTAAGCAGCTCATATTTAAACAGCCTCATTTAAACACCTTTCTCATCACTTTCAAGAATAAAAGCATTAGATAAATGTGAAGAGTTGAATTTGCTAAAATAGCAGGTGAGAATACAGGCACTGCTGAAATTATGAATCCATAAAGAAATATGAAAATTCTTTTTTTATGTCTACCCTTGACATTTTTATTCCATGTTTGATGTTCTAGCTGGAATTGGAAATGGGTTTTTTCTTCCTGTTTAGTAAACTACTTTCCATAAGTTGCTCATTACATGCTGTATTCAGCTTTTGCTATTGGTCCCAAATGTTGCAAGGTAACGGGGTTCAAAAATAGCAATCCTCCACATTTTACTGGGCAGGCAATTGTATATGAGGCACTCCGTTCTCAACAACTCCTACTTACCCCTGCACTGAGCACAACAGTGGGATGAAAAGGTTTTGAGCAATTTAATGCAGTTACAGACCCTGTCCTGCCCAGAGGGTTGTGGAATTCTAGGAAGGTGAGACCCTGAGATGCTTTACTGCAGATGAGAAGGCAGTTGGTGCCACCTCTGCTCAGTCAATACCCTCTTCTAATGCAAACCCTTTAGTTACTGAGCTTAGGAAACTGCCACAAGATCCTACCTGCAAGCCTCCAAAATCAAGTTTTAATACTCAGAGCTTCATAAACAATTCTGTGTAAACTAGATTTGGATTTCTTTCAGCAACTTGGAATGCATTTTAAAATGCAAAGACACAGCAAGGATTGGGCCTGCTGAGCTGACCATTTCCAGAGCTGGGATGGTGCACTCTCTGCACTCTATACCCACCAAGAGGGACAGGCTTTCCAAGAGGACCTTCTTATAATCTTAGCATTTTGTGCAAAATCATGATACTTCACTGTTTCTATGGGGAAGATGATAAGAAAATTTTGAATTTTCTTATTTGCAGAACAGATGGAAATAGAGACAAAAGGAGTTGCCAGAGGCCATGCAGTCAACAGCAGAGACTGTTTTAGGACCTAGATAAGATTTTATCATCTACAGTATCCAAAATAATGAATTAAATAATTTGCCAAATATTTCAGTATCAGCTCTTTCTTTGGGATAGGAACTGCGTCACTTTGTGTGATTGCAAATTCCAGGCAAACAAAGGACTATGTAATAATCATATCTTTTAAAGATTAGAACCTTAAACTTTAGCAATGAATCATTTCTAAAACAAAGGCAAATGAGGAAGAAGGGGGAGGTCATGAATAGATCCCTGATAGACCAAAATCTTTTCCCACAAACAAGATGCTTGGACATTGTGCAAAGATATGCAGTGAAAGTTTTGTTTAATTTCTTGCCCTCTAAATATGTTCCTCCCAGCCCATTGTGGAGAACATGGAAAATTAACTTGCTTTAAAAAAACAAGTACAGCAACTTGGCATTTATCCATTCCATACACTGTGAATTGTAGCAGCACTTCTCAGGAGCAATATGAAAATACTATTGCAACTGCTGTACAGAGCTGAAGGGTGACAGTCAGCATGGCACATTCCAGTATGTATCCAAGAGAATCACAGAGTGTCATTATACCAGTAACCTCTTACCTGACAAGATTGCAAATTGCCTGTGGAGCTGCTCTATTATATCCACTGCTACGAGCGGCCGTATCTCCTGCTGCATGATTTCATCTGTGCAAGGGAAAACAGAAATCTTCCGTGAGTTCATAAAGCCTCAGTGACAATTTTTTCCACCTTTAACAACCCAGCAAAACAAAGATGACACTCAAAGTAAAAAGCCTAGCCAGAGCTATTCTATGACTATTGTGGTAAAGATTATGGTACTTACTGAGTCTCCTCTTCAGCCTATTAACTTCATCTATTGCCTTGTGATTTCAGAGAGAGCTTTTCATAAACCAGCTCCAGTAGATTTGCCACAGCTTGCCACAGGTTTGCTCAAGCTGACAGCTGCTCCCTACCACTTCAGGTTCCATATTAAGTCATTACATTTGGCCTCCCACTACAGCAGTTTTTCAGTCTTTGAAACAGTGAAATCTACTGCACATACATGGCCCTGTTCCACCCTGAACTCCCCGAACTCTGCTGGAGACTTTGTGTAGCCAGCCAATCCACAACAGTTTCCTTTCTCGATGCTTTTTCCGCTACAAGCAAATACATAGTAAAAGGAGGAAATAAGGGACTGTGAGACTTTCTTCTCATGAAAACAAAGCCTGTTATTTTAACTGAGCCTGTTAGTTTAAACACTAAAAAGTTTAAAAGTAACTTGGCAAGCAGCTGGGCAAAAAATTACCTCAACTTTTGTGTGTGATCTATGGAGTGAAAAGCAACTATAGTCTCACATGAAGCTAATTTGATCTCTTTTTGTAACAGGTGCACCCAGTTATTTTCCCCACTCTTCACACCAGTCTAAAGCAGCAACATTTACAAGAAATATCTGCCAACTTAACTGGCAGGATGAAGGTTTATGTTATAATGACGCCTATTGGAACTACTCCTTTAGCCGCTGTACAGAGCAACAACCAGTCCTGGTGCTGTGCAGATCACCTCTAAGTGATAGGTGGTAGGAAGGAGGCTGGGTCCAGACAGACCACAGACCTGAGTCAGGGCAGGCTGATGCCCCATTTAAGCACCAAGATATTAACTGATGTGAATTCAACATAGGCACTTAAATACTTTTGTGCACATGGTTTTAAACCAACAGTCCAGAAACAGAGAGGGAGGTCAGAGAGGTTAGAGATTAGCTTCTTTCTCCTGCATCCTAGTCTACTGCCCAAAAAACCTCTGTCTTGCTTTCAGACATCCACTCTGATCCTCTCCAGAACTAGGGATTCTAGGTTTAAACGACACAATATCATTTGAAAAGTTTTATGTTCATTTTCAAACACTTCACTAATGCCTTGAGACAAAGTAGCTGAAGAGCTTGTGTCACAGTGGGTGACACACAATGCGAAAAAAAATTGCAAAGATTTGGCTGATGCACAAAAAAGGCAATGATTCCAAAAAACAGGGCAAGAGTGGGAGAAAAGAGTCAAGGAGGATGATTCTGCAAATCCTTCTTTTTGAACTTAATAGGAGAAAATGCAAACTTGAATGAGTGATGTTTTTGATGTGGGACCTTCTTTTCCATCCTGTTGATGAGGCTCACTATGACCTCTCTGATTCTTGTCATTGTAGGCAGCAAAAGCAAACAGGAGTCATGAAGGAGCTTGGTGTCAGGGATTGTTATACATTGCCAAAGCAAAAAAAAAGAATAGTAACCCATTACGTTTTCCTCTTTTACTCTGCAATTTCTTCCATGCATATCCAGAATGGGACCTGGGGGCGAAACTGCAGAGCAAATAAAGGAAAGCAAACTAAAATAGTTTTGAATACTCAACGTTATTTTCTAGAGAGTAGAAAATACTATGAGCCTGATTACTCTCTAGCTGCTGAGGAACAGCTTGTTGATAACCCTGTCTGGAGTCAGATAAATACTACATTCAAGGAACCAGAAGCAAAAAACTCCTGTAATCTATGAACACAATTCTCAACAGATACTGAGAAATGTCCCCAGATTATTGGTCCGAAGATCCTACCATCCTTCAGGAAGTACACTGGAAGTATTTCTGAATCACCATAATAGTAACAGATTTGCCCTTTTCAAAACAGGTGTTGGCAGCAAGATGAAGGCAGAAGAGAGAAAAACTAGTGACTGTAGCTGATTGTAACAAAAACCAGTCAACATGGAAGTACAGGAAAGGAAAAGCAAATTAATAATTTAAATAAAGCTTGGATCTCAGAACTGAGAAACCTCAGGGCATCATCCATTGAAGGAAATACTGTTGATTTCAGCATCCAGAAGGTGCAAAGTTGTTGTGACATCTGTGCAGTCCCACAGGTGGTCAGGTACACTCAGTTTGACTAGAACTGAGATTATGCCAAACAGCTGCAAAAATAGAAAAAAGGTTTCTACAATGGATAACAGAATCACAAGAGAAATTCTGACATAAATGGAAAGTTAACTAGAAAAGGTGCCACCTCTCAGAGACTTGCCCAGCCCTCCAGGACAACAAACCTGCCAGTAGTTTAGTTTGTGTTTGGTGTTTGCCAGTGTGAAGATATCATTAATATCAACCAGTCTTGAGCAAAACAGAAATTCCACCACCCACCCAACCCCTATTTAGCTTTATTAGCTTGCTGCAGACATAGCTTGGTTACTGGTTTCTAAATAGCCTTTTTATTTCAAAAGATTTTTGTGATGTAAGGATAAGATGAAGCAAAATAAACAAAAACTGCAGAGTGCCAGCTGGTTCTTATCAAATCTCCTGTCTGGGCAAGATGAACCACATGGGATTTCCTGTAAAAGCCGCACTCAGGAGGAGATGTTCAGATGATGAGAAAGGTGGTAGAAAACACATTTGATGACTAGGAATCACACATTCAATAAGTCAGTACAGTTCACACAGTGACATGCTGGGAAAAGCAATTGCAGCAGAAGAAACTAGCAGGAGACAGAAAATCTGAGAAAACAAGGAAAGGTGCCTCACGAGCCCAAATGGCAAATCAGATCATGCGGCTGTGAAATGTCAGCAGCTGTAGCCAACAGCACTCAAGGTCCCATTTGCCCATTTGTGTCTTCCTCTAGGACAGTGCTTAGGACAGTGTAGCACCACCATAGCACAGACCTTGCAGTAGAAGTCCCAGTCCTTGGAAACATGATTGATTACCTGGGGCTGCTGGAGGAAGTTTTTAATCTTTAACTAGAAGAAAAGCTTGAAAAAAAAATCTTATAAGCAAACAAAAAGATGTAAGTCTGGGTTTGATTGAAAGCTATGACATTTGTCTAGTATCAGTGAGCATTAATTTATATCTGCCACTAGCTTTATCTCAGGAAGCCCTGAAGCCTCTCTGGTCTGTACTGCAAGTCAGGAAGCAGCAGGAAGTGCTGCTCACCCTCCTGGACAGAAGCAAGGCACCATTTTTCTGTGGGACTGATATTCCAGCTGAGAAACCCCTTCTTCAGGGTGACATGAGCTGGTATTGAGCTGACAGCTACAGGTTCATAGACACTTCAGAAAAACTTATTGATGACAGGCACATTTTAACACTGCATGGGGCCAAGGGGAAGGTTTCAGGAAGCTGAAAAGCTGCAGGAACATGAAAACTATCTTGTTTCATAGCACCCCTTGCTAATATCTACAAAGGATGTTGGACAACTCCTGCTCACTTCAGAGCAGTTCTGTCCTCTGATAAAATCTGTATCTGTATAGGCATGCAACTTAAGATCTTATAAAAATACACACCAGCCAAGTGTCTGCAACATATTTATTTTGGGAAACTTGACTCAGACATTTCCCACCTTCTGTGTGATTGCTCTTGTGGTCTCCACTTTTTTTTTTTTTTTTTTTTTTTTTTTTTTTTAAAGAGGCAGTTATTCATAGCCTCTGAAATTTCAAAAAGAAAAATTTTATTGTTTGGTGTTACATGAAACAATGCCAATCCCCTACACAGGTCATCAAAGATGAACATTTACATATACCATACAGTTCTTCATTACTTGAATTAATTGAATTTGTCAGGACAATTTAAATATGAATAAGGATGTGATAAAAGAGGAAAAAAAATAAAAGAAACAAGTCAGTTCATCTACTCTTGGTTCTCCTCTTAAACAGCTATAAATTCAATTCCTAGCAGAGGCCAGTTTCAGTACAGAAGAATTAGGCCTTACAGTTTTGCTTCCCAAGGTTTTCTACCAAGGGGGAGAAAAAGAAAAGCAATTACTACAGCCATCTGTCTGGCACAGCTTCTCCTCCTTCCCAGCTCTCCAGGGAGGCTCACTGCAACTGTGCTATCTAATCCTCAAGGGGAAAGCCATTCAGTTGTGCTTCATAATTCCTCATTCAACAATGAAACCTGCTTGGGCTCGCAAACACACACTTGCTTATTCTGTGTCTCACCCAGCTCTATGTGCTCCCACAGCAGGTCTGGAGGAGCTACACCAACAGCAGATGGTTAAAAGCAACAAAGAATATCCTCTTGTTCTTTCCTCTCTTCTCTGAGCAGACACAAACTAGTTTACATACTAATGGCAACTAATTGTTTCCAACAGCACTGGAAAGGTGACTTGCTGGAGTGAGGGACTGGACTGCACCAGCAGATTGACACAGCAGTGCCTGTTGCTCCACCAAGGACAACTAAAGGCCACCAGCCACACCAGGACACTGGGGCTTCTTTGTTTTTAGGTGGCTGAAGGCTACAACTGCCTGGCCTTCTGCTGACTGCAGGAGAGGATGGCTTCAATCCCCATCTGAAGCCACTACTCTTGGAAAAATGGGCTACAAATTTCCAGAGCAAAGTTCATGTCTTCTTAATGACAGCCTAATATGTAATTCACAGTGGAAGAAGAGAGCTGAGAGTGAAAGAAAATATGTTCTAAAATAGTAGAGTACATCAGCCTACTTCTACTTTGTGCAAGCTCTGTCAAAAATTATGCTCAGAGCTTTCAGAATTTTTTGGAGAAAAATCAGATTGCTGGTGTGATGAAAAAGGGTCAGACAGGATTAAGCACGAGGCCAGATATTTCTTAGCCAGATACTTCATTTTAAGAACATGAAAGCACACCTTACATTATGTGCTCTTATGCTCCTTAGAAAGTACCAAAAGGCAAATCCAAAGTTTGAAAGTTGCAGAATTCCTACAGTCCAGAACTTCTCCCAGGTTGAGTCAGCTTTGCTTGCCACCAACAACAGCAAAGTCTAGCAGAGCTAAGTTAGATTTCAAGAATTAAACACAATAAGGAAACAAATTTGCACGTTTGACTGATAAGGTTTAAGCAGGCTAAAGGATTTGAAAATATTCTGTCCCACCAGAATGCCCGGTTCAAGTTCTTAAGCAAAACATTTCCCTTTTTGAAGGTCAAAAAGAACTCCAAGGTTATTACATCAGAGAAAGACTCTCTTAGTTTGGAATCCTATTTTAAAATTTCTATTCATTTTTCTTCCTCACCATTCATGCCCCTTGTTTACTTTCTGAAAAGG